CTCAAAAAAAAAAAAAAAAAAAGATCTGCCGTCACCAGTTTGCATGGGCACCATCCAAACTGCTGAGGGTCTGAATGGAACAAAATGGTGAACAGAATCTGCTCAAGCTGTGTAAATGTCCATTCACTCTCTCCTGCCCTCAGACAACAGGACTCCTGGTTCTGTCAGACTGGGACTTCCACCATTGGCCCACCAGTCCTCAGGCCTTGGATTTAGACTGCAACAACCCAAACTTGGTGACTGAGTGCAACAGGAATAGTAATTTTAGGCTCATTATTGTGATATTTGGAACTCCTCTGGTGGACAACTTTGGCTGTAGGACTCCCCAGTGGCCTTGCTGAACTTTTCTTAGAACTATTCTCCATCTAAGATGCCTCCATCCAAGTTCCCTTCCTCCCATCTCTCCTTCACATGGGGTCAGACCTGCATCACGGTCTGACAGCTCTTCCACACTTCTCCAGTTCTCTCTTCCTGTTTTCCCTCACAAGCCTTTCCCCTAATAACTATTATTCCTGTCTCGGTGTCTGCTTCGTACCCAGATGGACTAACCAGTGCTCTTTCCAGGGGCAGTCTCCAAATGAGAAATCTCTTTTGCCTTTCTCCTCCCTACCTCAACACTGGTGTGGAAGTATAGAGGAGAAAAGGGGACTTTTTTTTTTGGCACCAAACAGAGTTAAACAGGCAAGGTAAACTTGATTCAAGACTATTGCAATGGGAGGAGGGAGGAACACTGCAAGCATCTCTAGACACATGGACAGGTAGGGATTTATATCAATGGGTAGAATGAATAATTTTCTTAGATGGAAAATTACTGGGTAGAAGTTGGTTGGCTATGAAGGGTGGGGAGATTCTCAATCTGATTTAAATAATTCTTTGCTAAAACTGGACTCAGAGCCGGGCTCAGAGGCTCAGCCTGTAATTCCGCGCCTTTGGGAGGCTGAGGTGAGTGGATTGCCTGAGCCTGCGGGTTCGAGACCCGCCTGGGGCAGTGAGACCTCATCTCTACAATAAATCAAAAAATTAGCCGGGTGTGGTAGCGCATGCCTGTAATTCCGGCTACTCGGAAGGCTGAGGTGGAAGGATCGCCAGAGCCCAGCAGGTCGAGGCTGCGGTGGCCGGGAGCGGCCACTGCACTCCAGTCTGGGCGACAGAGTGAGACTCCAACTCAAAACAAAAAAACAAAAAACTGGGCTCTGAAAATCAAGGGCAGGTCAAGGTTGAGGTCTAGTTGAAAAGGCTCAGAGAAGCCTGACTAAAGTTTGGTCAAGGAGGGAGTCCTCACCACACCCCAAGTCAAAACACTGGATCCTCCAGGTCAGACTGCCTCGGAGAGTTGAGGAGGAAGACTTTGAATGGAATGTGAAGTTTTAAACAAACTGAGTCTGAACTGAAATAATACTGTTTTAATAACTGATGGTTACTGCAAAGTTATAGAATTGGACTACAACATTGTTATTAGAGCCAGAGGGCAAGGTTGGTCAGAGCACAGGTTGTGGGTAGCATCATTAGACACTAAAAAATGATTCACTCATAAAATGAAATTGAGGGAAAACCTGAGCACCACCTGACCACACTCCTCAGGAAAACTTTCCCTGCCCATTCCCCCTCCCTGGAATAGGCCGAATAATGCTCCCTCTCTCTGAGATTTCCAATGACTGCCACAAGCTGTTGGACCTTAAGGTGGACAAAACAGATTTCAAGAGTTGTAAGACTGGGAGTGCCTACCTAGTGGGAAAGAACATCTGAACCCAGACACCCAGACTAATAGGTGAGCTTTCAAGGCCCCAGGGAGGGTCTGAAGACTTGGAGGGACAGAACCGCCCCAGCTGAATGAGGTCCATGCCTCCAATAGCACTTTCCCACACAGGAAATGTTCAACCTTCCAGCTTCCTGGAAGAAGAGGTTAACCCAGGAAGCAGCCAAACCACAAGGTGCAGACCAGCATGCAGTGTTTATGTGAAAGATGCACTTCACTTGCAGTCAAGGGTACTCAACAGATGGAATCCAAAACTGAAAAATAACAACTCCATTTGGTGGCAGAAGCCCATAATGCTACAGACATAGGATCCAGGACAGGAGCTCCAAGTTGGGCAGGGAAAACAAAGAGAGCTGGATTGCATATTACCTGACATGTTTCTGTGCATCTAGAACCTCCCCCCACCGAGTCTAGAACATACCTTCATATTGAGGTCAGCATATCAGATTTGGATTCCAAGTTGAAATTTTATTCTGATCCCTTAAGTGAAATAGGAATAGCACAGGCCTTAATGGGTTGTTTAGGTGACTCAATGAGGTAATACAGTCAGTTCTATCACCCTTGTTTTGAAAAATGGGAATTTGGTCCAGAGCAATGCTGTAGTAGGGAAGAATTTGAGTAAAATGTAAACTGTACTTTAGATTAGGCAACTCATCCATGAGCTACACTAGGTGAATGCAGATAATAGTACCCGGCTAAATCGAGCTGTGTAGGAACACACACAAAACACACTACACCTCCAACATTTACCAGCTACCGAAGTATACTATGTGTCATGGGCCACACCCATCCACAGTTGATGTCACCACTGGCCAACCAATTTCAGAAAACTTCTCTTTCCATCTTTTCACAATCCTTCCAACAACCACTTCCATAAGCAAACTTCAGGTCTTTTTCAAGCTAAAATGCCTTCCTTACTTTAGTATTTGTGTATTTCTTAATCATTTAACATCTAAAATTGTGTTACCATTTTCCTTATGTTGCTGTCTTTTTATTTTTATGTGTCACTGACAGAGTTTTTAATTTGTTGTCTCTAACCCCATTTTTTCCCTAAGCCCTGTGGTTGCACAATTTCACATAGTGTGGTAGTGGTGTAGTTCCTAAAAAGGAACTGGTACTGTATGTTGTGTTGTAACAAAAAGGAACTAGTACTGTATGTTGTGTTATAACAAAACTGACTACATATGTAAAGCACATAGTAAATGGTAAGCTTTCAATAAATGTCAGCTGCTCCGATTATTAATACTAAATCTCTGGCACTTGAATAACACGTCATTTTTTTCAAATTGCTTTCCCAATTATGAATTCGTTTTTATGCTCATGCTTCATACGTGGGTTATTTTTCCAACTATCAAAAAAGAAAATGCAAATCATGTTAAGCAATTTTTCCAAGATCACAAAATCAAGCCCCAGCAGACAAAGACCTGTTCCTTGCCTTCAAGCTTAAGAAATACAATGCAGATATTCTAAATCTATATCCAAACAGTGTAAAGCAAAGTGTACGCAAGAGAATGGCCATTCAGGAGTTAAAGGAGGAGGGGAGGGGAGGGCATGTATGTAATCATAAACGAATCCTTGAAGAAGTGAATTTGAGAAAGTTGGCAGAAGGAAGAAAATTGCAGAAGAGAGATAAATCAGTGAACAGTAGGGGTCTAAAACTCAGGTGCCTACAGAGGCCAAGCAAGTAACAGGAATGAGTAAAATGCTGGAGAGGAACACAGCAGGGAATGGTGGGGCTGTGGTGTAATCAGGTCCCATGCAAAGGGATGGACTCAAGTGAGCTCTGACCAACTCAGGCCTCAGCAGACTCAGCATCTGATATGTATGTATGTTTGTATGTATTCTTAGAGATTTGCTCTGTCATCCAGGCTGAAGTGCAGTGGCATGATCATTGCTTACTGCAACCTCAAACTCCTGGGCTCAAGTGATCCTCCCTCCTCAGCCTCCCGAGCAGCTTGGACTATAGGTGTACACCACCATACCTGGCTAATTTTCTTTAATTACTTTTTGTAGAGACAAGGTCTTGCTATGTTGCCCAGGCTGGTTTCAAAATCCCGGCCTCAAGCGATCCTCCTGCCTCAGCTTTCCAAGCTGCTGGGATTATAAGCATTAGCCACCAGCATCTGATCTTTTTAAGAGAAGCAAAATAATTCAGGTTTTATGTGAAATTCCTAGGATTTTCTTTAACTGTGGTCAGTTGTTCAAACATCAACAACAAATTCAACATTTTAAAAACACTTTTCAGGCCAAAGTAACACATCTACAGGACAGATAATATGTGACCTCCAGTGAACTAAAAGGTGATGCTCCACCCCCAGCGCCCCCTATAAATAAATTTGAATGCTGATGGACACAAAATATCTTATTTATTGTCAATTTCTGCAAAGACACATTTAAGCAACAAAATATACATTTGTCAACCTTTTAGAATTTGTTTTATACATTAACAAATACAATATGCTACTGTAGCAATAAATTAAATGTACACTATTTACATTACATAGGCAGTCGGGGTCTACAAATCACCTCCTCACTAAGAGGAAAGAAAGAAAAGTCATCATCACATGGATCATCACTTCCAAGCTACAATTCTTAGGTTCTATCACACAGAGGAATCTCTTCACAGAAATGTCAGCACTCCCCAAGCTGGAGTGTCAAAGGGTAACCCATGACAAGGGAGAGCTGGCACACATGCTAAGAAGCGGGAAGGGAGGGGTTCACCCTTCCAAGCGGACATGTCACAAAATCAAAGACGATGGCAATTAAATTCCAGTCTTCCAGCCAAACACCTTCTCCCAGAGCTGGTAAGACATAGGACAGAGCCGCTGCCCCACGGCCTCTCACCAGGCAGGGCTCTGCTGCCCTTGGCCCTAGCAGGAATTGTCTTCTTCCTCCCAAAGGGGCACCTGGCCCGGCTGAAAGGAGGGAGATGGGATCAGGGTGGACAAGGGGCTGGTGGTAAAACAGCTACCAGAGCTTAGTAGAAGAATGCCACAATCTGCCCCCCAGTCAGGCTACAGAGACAGTCGTGGCAAGCCTTACTGACCCACCCTTGATAAGGAGTAGCTAGAGGCTGGGGGAGGAGCCATGGGGTCCTGAGCATGGCTAGTCCTGTCCTGGTCCCCGCCGGCCACCTGTAGCCATAAGATTTACTTGAACCCCCGACTACTCAAACCAGACCTGTCTCTGTTGACTTAGAAGTGAATGAAAAAGGTAGTGTTTGAGTTGGCACCATAAAGGGTCAGGGTAAGAAAGTGAAACAGGCTCTTGTCCTGCCCTGTCACTAGAGTCCAGGTTTTCATGAACCAGCTTTGTTTAAGAATCAGGGAGAAATGAAGAGTTTTCTTTCACTATTTTTCTCTTAATTTAGAAATGGGAAGCTGAGGGTTGGTTAACAGCATCTTTGCCCCAGCCTCCACCCCCATTAGAGACTAGAGTTGAAGAACCGATATCACTGAGGAGCAGTTCACCAGAATCCCTTTTTCCCTCTGTTTTTTTTTTCTTTGCTCAAGCTGCATGCAAAACCCTGGGGCTCTCACTGGAAAAATCCAAGAGATCATCCCTCATGATGCAAAAAAGCAGAGTGAGGCTTCAGCAGCATCCTTGATTGCTGACACCTCCCAGTCAGGGCTAAGGCACTGGCTAACTGGCTTCCCCAAAACCCAGGGCCCCAGGAAACCCAGGACCCCAGCCACTTATTCTAATCAACTACGCAGGTAGTGCAGAGGAAAGTACCCTGGGATTTGTGTTCTAATCCTAGCGTTACCAATAGCTGATTGTGTGACCTCAAGCAAGTTCCTTCTCCTCACTTGAGCAAAGGTCTCATCTGGATGAGATGAGATGATGTCTCATCTGGATGACGACATGGTTGGATGAGATGCTGAAAGGAACCAGAAGCCTTGGTCATTGAGATGATGCTGACAAAACTGAACCACAGAGTAGTTTTCAAGAAATGCCATTTTGCATTGATTAGCACAGACAGAAACTTTAGCTAACACCTTCTACCTCGAGCTTTTCTGTGCCTGTTTTTAAGCATCAACTGAACTGGAGACATATGGGTGCCCTACAGTGCCTGAAAAGTAGTTTCTTCAGTGAGTCAGGCAGTTGCCAGAGCCAGAGACATAGGGAAACACCCACTCATGGAGATCACAGTGAAAATGCCTCAAATACCAGGGTGAGCACCATCTAGATGAGTCTAGTCACAAGGGCCCATGAGCTTCAGCAAATCTTTGAGCTCCAAGACTGGGCACAGCAATAAAAGGACAAGCATTTTGGATCAGAACAGATATAAACAGAGCATGGGGAAAACAGCCCTCCAGGAACCTGAGCTGCCTGCCCCGTGGTCCAGAGGAGCGAGGGGAGACTGGCCCATCCTTGTTCTCCTCCTCCTCTCGGCACTGGGACCTCAGGTGGGCTGGCAGTGCACACGCTGGAGGCCATAGGATGCACCTTCTAGGGATGACGAGGCATGACCCAGAGGAAAGGGGCATTTGGGATCCCACCCAGGGCACCCCAATAGCAAACTGAGGGTGGAGACCACATCTCAGGTCTAAGCTTCTCAGAAGCACACCGGTGCCTCTCAGTACCTCTGGACACACCCAGCCATCAGTCCACTAGCTCAGAGGCAGGAGCAAAGCCCTCCCAGAAGGTAGGGGGGTGCAGGGGAGCAGCCAAAGCAATGGGGACAGGTAGGTATGGGATTAACAAATGAGACAGCATGAGGACAACCTGGAAACTCCAGATGCCCTCAGACCATGATGCAACACAGCACAACCACCAAGCAATGTAAATACTAGCCATCCAGAGAGGCAGGTCAGAACCATGCAATTGTTTTTTAAAGAAATGCAGTTTTACCTTTCAAGTTCCTTCAGAAACCAGCCAACAAAATACTGCCAGAATCTATAGGCCTTCTTCCAGCAGTGGGTGCTGCTACGGTGACTTTTAATAAAAGCCAAACAGATACTCTGTTGACCTTCTAACTAGAATAAATTTTACCAGACTAGTGCCTGACGTATACACATTTCCCATGCAGTGGGAGGGGAGAAGTCCCTCCAGCTTGCAAACAGAAGCCAATTAATTTCCTCATGAGTGGAGTCGGGGTGAGGGGGAGCAAAGGATCAAAATTGTGTTCTACTGACAAAAGCAATGGGGAAACTGTCACAATATCATTAAAAAAAAGTGTACATTTATATCTTTGACTTGGGAATAGGTCCAGATCCCCATGTAAATAAAGTATTTGGTTAGAAATCCTCTTCATCTACTCATTAAAGCAGAAGCCCAGCCAGTGTCACCTTGCAACCCTGTGCCAGCCTGTGCCAGAGGCCCCTGGAAGCTGCAGCACCTCCAAGGGGCTGCTCTTTAGACTTTATCTTTTACTTAGAGGATGCCCCCACCTAAACCCAACTGGGTCCCATCAGCAGAAATGCCCTGTGATACTACAGACTGGATGGGGGGGAACCCAGAAGGGGCTGGTCCTCAGAGAACGAGCCAGCCCACCCCAGTGAAGGGTGCTCTGGCTGAGGGTGCAGGTGTCATGTGATCTCTGAACCACAACCAGATGGGGGCCTGGTCACAGAAATCCTACAGATGTGAAAACTGCTTAAAGACTCTCAGTTGGAGAGGGGAAGAAGAGGGTTGAGGGATGAAGCCCTGGATGTGGTCAAAGGACACAGTAGCTGGAAACAGTCCCCAAGGCAGCAATGGATGGCCATCAGATGCTGGGAACATAAATTTCCTGTGCTTCTTCCCCATATCTAAGTTCAACCCCCACATATGGGCCTGATCAGAAACCAGCACATCAACCCTCACTTCACCTCTCTGCCTCCACCTAAGCAGTGAGTTAAATAACTACTTATGTCTTCCGTGAACCTCCACAGCCAGCAAAGACCTGGATCCAAGCCCTGCCCTTAGGCCCTGAGGTGTCCCTCAGCCAACACCCCAGCACTGGCTCATTCGCTTTCCCTGATTTCCTTCTCACTTCCCAGCTTCCCTCTACTTCGTGGGGAAAAAATCTGCTCAGAGGAAAGAGGCTGCCATCGGGCTTCTCCCGATGATCAGGGGCCCATGTGAAATCAGGAGGGCAAAAAGCTTCAACCACAATCAAGGAAGTGTGTTGTGTGGCGCCAGTCCCAGACATGCCCAGCTCTGTCTCGGGGCTTCAAGTGCCCAAGCCCTGCTCAGGATACACTGGCGACAGGGAGTGTAGCCCTGGGCCCATGTCAACAGATGGGTAAGACATTCTTAGCACAGAAGCAGATGGGTGTTTTGGCGCTCCAGAGATCAGGACAGCTCGAGAATGCTACAAACCTCGGTTCCTGGAGAAGCGGCCCCTCCACCACCACTGAGTGCATTCATGGTGGTGGAGCACCCTGCCTGCCATGCCTGGGAAGGTACTGCCTCATGGCCAAAGCCCTGGCCAAGGCGCTATGTCCTGCTGTTGGCTTCTGTTCCCCACTCTTTGTCTCTGAAGCAGACCAGCTTCCCAGTCTCTGGTTGAGCCCCCAGCTCCCTCCTTGTTCAACTCTCTTGTCCTCTGTAGACTAAACAAGATGATAAATGACCCAGATAGATGTCACACTGGGGGTCAGGGGCAGAGGGAGCCTCGAGGAATGAGGCGTTGTCCAGAGATGGGGAGGTGCTTGGAAGGTGTGTTAGTGAGGGAGCTGGTGGGGCTGTGACAGGGCCAGGACACTTGGACAGACAATGGATCTGGGCAGGTGGCCGGTGAGGCAGCAGGCCTGTGACAGTCAGAGTAGTGGACGGCACCCCCGAACTGCTGGAATAGGAGCCTTCTCCGGGACACAACTGGGGCTTCCCTGGAGGAGACAAGGAGGAGGGAGATGATGACCAAAAATTCAGTAAAGGAAGGAAGGAATTGTGAGTGCAGACCTCAGGAGTAAGGGAATGCACCCACCCATGGCTACAGCCTACTCAGTACAATTAGGACAAGGAGGGCGCCAGATACAAGGGTGCCCTACCTCATACAGGCCGAGAAGTTGGGCATAAACCTTACTTTGGCCTCTGAAGTACATGAAGGGCACTGGAAATGAATGCCGACATTCCCATGCTATCTTCTGTTTTCCCCACAAATCAGGTTTAACATAAAAGTGGGCTCACTTGTACTCTGCTCCTTAGTTCCAACTGTGACTCCTAACCCTGGAGCTCCATGTGGGGAGAGGGTAAGGGAGTCTCTGGTGACTCTGATCACCTCACCAGTAGGAGTTCAGGCCTCGATGGTGGCGAGCTGGGCTGCTGAAGCATTTGAACCCCTGGCAGAGGCCAGGAGCAGAGGCCCCTCGGGGTTGTCCCTCACAGTGCTGACTGGGCAGGGGCCTCTCTTGGCACATATGGAGGACACACTTGGCTAGAGACAAAGGAGGGAGGGCTGCTAGACAGCAGGGAAGCAAGGGGGCAAATAAGGACCCCCTCCCTCCGGAAAGGAAAGTAGAAGGAAGGAAGAAAGGAAGGGGCTCGGGGCTATTGCCCCTTCTGCCTGTTGGAACCAGTCGCCCTCCAGTGGGAGGGAAACCTAGTTAGTGAGTCTGGTCCAATCCTATTGGGTAACCCTTTCCATTTTCACCTAAAGCCATCTGCACCTCCTCCCCATCACAGGGCTTCAGGAATGAGGCAACTGTTTGGCTCTCCCTGGCTGCAGGAGCTCTCTGGTCATTCAGAGTTTATAAGGCCCCAAGTACCTTAATCTTAAAGAAACACACTCCCCCCTTCATGGCCACAGTGGGACGCTCATTCAACTCACCTTGGACAGGCGAAGGACTCCCCTTTCACATTAGTGACCCTGTTTTAAGAAACATCCATACAAGAGTTTCAAATAACCAGATAACAACCGCCCCCCCACCCCGCCAAGTGCAGCTTCTGTGCATTCAGCTCTCCACAATCTGAGGAGCTCAGGTCTGAAGGCCCAGGGCCCCCAGAGCCAACATTCACAATTCATACTGGGTATAGCTATGCCCAGGGGTGTGGCTCTAACTCAGGAGGTGTGGCAAAGGTAGCTGGTGACCCTCTGACCCAGACTGCACAGGGTGGGAACAAATCCGAAAAAAGCTTTCCTTCCCCTGCCTCCTACAAGAGCCCCCCATGGCATGTCTGAGGCCCTCTTCCTCTGGCCCATGGAAAAGAAGGCTGGCTTTCAGAGGAATGTGGGATATGGGAAGCCATTCCCCATGTTCTTACCGCACCAGAGCTGGCATGGCTGAGCTTATCAAAGCGGAATTTCAGATTAGATCTCGGGGAGTTTCTGCTTTTGGCATCTAAGAAAAAGAAGAATGTCCATGAAAAGAGGGTGAAGCTGTAGCAGTCACTCAGGCTGTTAGGCAGGGTGGGGGAAGGGGTACTGGCCAGGAAGGCCAGGAGAAGGGGGTCTCCTCCTCTCCATGAGGCAACTCTCTCTGGCCTTTAGCAATCCATAGAGCCAACTCTTAAGTTTTGAGAAATGGAGTAATCTGATTAAATGCAGGCCATTTCTAAAAATTAAACAATGTAAGCTTACAATTCAATAAATTATATACAACAAAGGTAATAGACACTCAAAATTCACCCCTTGCTAGTGATTTTACTACACTTTACTATTATCTATGCTCTTCTGTCTACTGTATCCATATGATGATGGCTACAAGTGCTTCTCTTCCCACGTTCAGGGACGTCACATTGGTAGTTTAAGATTAGCCACGATAGGAGTATTTACACAACAAAAATTAGCAAATGCTACAAAAAGCAGAGTTTGACTTAGGGTTTTGTTACCTATATTTAAGAAACTTATGATTTTGTTGTCTATACTTAAGAAAGCACCTGTAATTCTAGCACTTTTGGAGACTCAGGCAGGAGGATTGCTTGAGCCCAGGAATCCCAGACCAGCCTAGGCAACATAGCTAGACCCTGTCTCTACAAAAAAAATTTAAAATCAGGCAGGTGTAGTGGCACACATCTGTAGTCCCAGCTACTCAGAAGGCTGAGGTGGAAGGATTGCCTGAGCCTAGGTCAAGGCTGTGAGGAGCCATGATCATGCCACTGCACTTCAATCTGGGTGACAGAGTAAGACTCCAACTCAAAACATATATATATATGAAACTAATAGATAAAATAATACAGATTCAATTTGAAAATGTGTTATATCTGTAGCCATTTCATTGTGATAAGCACAAAAAAAGGTGATAAATATTCTTTCAATATTGAAAACTATTATCTGATTCAGCAAAGAAGTTGCTCATGTCACTGACAAATAAATTAAGTTCTCTTAATTTAAAATGCTCATTAACATACACAGTAATGCCAGTGGACATTCATGTTGGAACTACATTTGTTCCTCATCTGCAACCTTAAGTTGGATACAGACATGCAGATTAGGCAAATATCAATGAAAGTACTTTGTGAAAATCAAATTGACATGTAGCATTTATAGTAAAGAATATTATATCAGTACATCTTATGATAAATGGGTGTGTTTGCACACTTGTGTAGGTGTGTGTGTGTGTGTGGCAGGAGAGCCAGTTGTGAACATTTACCACTACACCACTGGCAAGAGAGCCACTTGGCTTTCGTTCTCTGCCCGCCAAGGGAAACTACAACTTAGCACAGTCCTCCTAGAGGCTGTTGACTGTTTCTTGGTGCTTTGAATAGAAGGCTCTACCCCAGCCTATGAGCTGTGTGACCTGCCATCCTCTTCTGGGCCCCCAGAAAGCCCAGGTATGAAATGGCCTGAAATCATGCAAAACTAAATGTCAGGCACTCCCAGGCTTCCTCCCTCCTCCCTCCCCTCAGCCCTGCCTCTTCCCCAGACTCAGCTGAACAGCCTAAAATGGGTTTACAGATCTCCCCAAGCCTACCCTAAACCTGCTGGTACCCAGCACAACTTGTGTGGGGCTAGGAGTAAAAAGCAGCCCATCAGGGTTAAATACTGCATGGAGGGAAAGCATCACCATGGTATGCTAAGCATAGGCAAGAGATGCCAGACCCGTTGCAGGGCCCCTTCTTCCCTGAATGACCCTCAGCAAGTTACTCTCTTTACTTGAAATACTATTTACTTTTATATTTATTGAATGCCAAGGAGGAGCCAAGCTTGGTTACAGATTCCTTCATGTATTCCTTTAATATTTAATTAGACCTTATTTAAAAACCATAGAATGGAATTTGTATTACTATCCCATTTTATAGATGAGGAAACTAAGACTCCGAGTGGTAGGCCTGTCAATGCCGTAGCCAAAATTAGAACCAAAGTCCATAGCTGCCCAACCACAGAGGTCCAAATGAGAGGAATCATGTCAACTGCTCCACTAACTAGGAAGCACTGACACAAAGGAACATTTGCTCTGGGACCAGGATCTTCCCTTTATTCCCTGGCATTGCACGTCCCCTTCTGCCAACACCCCATAATTGGAGAACCCCAGGAACATTGTGGCTTAAGCCACCCTGATGGCCCCTTGGCCCCTTCCATGTTTCCATCATTTTGACTAGTTTCTCAACCAACTGACATTTGGGGCCAGATAATGCTTTGTGGTGGGAACTGTCCTGTACATTGTTAGCAGCATCCCTGCCTCCACCTACTAGACACCAACAGCATTCCCCCCCACCACCATGAAAATCAACATCTCCAGACATTACCGTATATCCCCTGGAGAGCAAGACTGTCCCCAGTTGAAGACCACTGACTACAGTATTGTTTTATTCCAGTTATTTAGTAAACACATCAACAGTTCTATATCTCTTACAAGCATATGCTCATTTAATCTTCACACAGCCAATCCTCTAAGATAAAAACTAGTATTCCCCCTCTCCTTTACTTTTTGCTTGGAGAAACTGAGGCACAGAAAAGCTCAGTGAGTTGCCCAGTGTCACATCACCGATAAGCAGTATGCCCAGGATTTGGACCCAGCTCAGAGACCTGCTCTTGCCCCACGCTATACTGTCCTCCTGAAAGGTGGAGACCAAGGTTTTGCTTTCCTGGCACCTGCACCACCCGCCAAGCAGTGCCTACCACACAGGTATATCAGGTGACCCTCAGGTGCCAGCCCTTCACCCTCTCCCCAGAGCTGGCTCCACCTACTCTGCCCAACTTCAGGGGTCACAGAACTCCGAAAGGCCAAGACTCCTGCTCTCTCTAAACTACCACTACTAACCCCGGTAGATTTTACCTCTTTACACTCCTGAACCCACATGCTTCTCCCATGGCCATTTCACTCCTCACTGTTCTCTCCCCCTGTTCCCCACTAATTCCTACATTCAACAGGTATAGGCACCAAATGGGTCTTTCTCAAGTCCAGTTGGTCATCTCTACTTAAGAACCTCAAAAGGCTTAAGAGCTTCCAATGCAGAATCTTCACCAGGGTCTCCATGGTGGTCCCAGCCGGCCATCGCTCTAACCTCTCACTCCTCTCTCACACTGCCCCTGCGTGAACTCCAGTCACACTGAACCACATTTGGTTCCAGAACACTCAGTATCTCCTTTTCTCTCGGCTTTTCCAATACTGTCCCCTCCACCTGGATACTCTCAGCCTTGTGTTATCAGGATCATTGCTATAAACGGGGCCTGGAACACTGGTGGGTTGGAAAGAGGGGTCAGTGGAAAGCCCTCAGCTGTTTAACCACCCAATTCTAACTCCTCCAATATGGGATCTCTAGCAAGTCATTCAACTCTCTGAGCCTCAGTTTCTCTATATGTAAGGGGGGAGGAGAATAAGAAAATGAACCTGTTATGGTTGGTGAACAGATGAAGTGAGCTAGCAGAACTGAGGGCCTAACACTTTGGAGGAGGAGTGGGAACTGGCCAGTTCAGCATGTCTGGGGCACATGCCCTGTTAACAGTAGTCAGAACACACCCCACCTTCCCAGCTACATCACACACACACACACACACACACCACCAAATGTCACTGACCCGTGGGACTCCGGCTCATGATGATGGGGGTGGCAGCTGCCCCTAGGCTGGGGCTCTCGCTGCTCGGGGACGGGCTGTAGACAAACACCTCCTGCTTGAAGGGCGAGGTTGTAGATGGCTGGCTGCTCTGGGGAGAGAGGCTGGGTGAGTGAGGCTGGCCCACCCTCAGCAGCCCCACAGGGTGGCCCATGCCCAGGCAGGCCTGAAATAGGTCCCTGTAAGCCCAGGACAGTCACTTGGACCCACTTCCCCACTTGACCTGCTCTTTCTTTCCTGCCGCCTTCAACCCTGGTTCCAACCTCTCCCCCTCCAGAAGGTGCCTCTGACCCAGCCCCACGGAGCACTGGACCCTCACTGCTCCAGCCAGCAACCCCACGGCAGGGATATCCCACAGTGTCTGGTCCCTGTCCCTCTGCAGCTGCTGTCATGTCACTCTAAGAGAGATCCCCCCTCAACCACTGCTCCCAGGAAGTGGTGATGAACACACTAAAGTGGGGTTCTACCCACAGTAGCTCTTATAATGTACAGAGGGTGGGTGACTGGGCCCTGAGGTTGGACAGGAGACACCTACCCCGCTGTCACCCTCCTCCATGGCCTCGCCCTCCCCTGCGGTGCTGCTGAAGCTGCTGGTGCTGGAGGAAGAGCGGGAGATGGCTCGGCCATTCTCCTTCAACTTTATGAAGGGCCTGGAGGGAACAGGAAGCAAGGCAAGCCCTGGTCACATGCCGAGAGTCCTCCACCCTACACGCCCTCCCTGGGACCCATAGCAGGGCAGGTCCAATGAAGATGTCAGCTTGCCTGTAGGCAGTTCCCTGTGCCCCTGCCTGTCACCCTTTGTGTTTCAGAGAGTTCCAGGGGCAAGGGACGGTCACTCTCAGCTTGTCTGGAGGCAGAGAACATGTTCCTCTAGGCACTCCAAATGGCTAAAGCCAGCCTTTCCCTCCCACTCATTCTCTTACTTCTCTTTGTTAGGGCAGATTTCCGGAGAGCTGGGATTGGATGAGGTCTCAGACTTTATCTCCTGAGAAGAGTGTCCGCCATCCGGGGTCTTGGGGTTGCTGGATGCACTGTCACTGAGAAAATGAGAATAAAGAGGAGTGAAGCCACGGAGGTAGCCCCTAATCCCCCACCTCATCCTCAGGCCCAAGGCAAAGCCTCTGCCTGCCAGCTATGGACACAATGGGAGACTGTGGGGTCAGAGAGCCACCTACCAAAGCATGGCCACCAGAACTTCCTTCCCACCCAAGCTCCTGGGACTGGCAAACAGCAGAGTTTTCTGCTCCCTGGAATAGGGGTTACTCTAGGTTCATGGGTGAAGTCCAGAACTACCAAGCAGGAGTCCTGGATTGACCTCTGGCCTCTAGCCCAAGTCTATCCCTTACCCAAGCTGGCTGTCCTACCTGGAAGAGCTATAAATCAAGAGAGAGCCACACAGGGAGTGGAGTGGGGTCTATGACATCTACCCCCATAGCAGGAAACACTCTAATATGCATGGACTCCTGGTGCGATGTCAGAAGGGCCACCTACTATATAGCCCTGGGGGATACTCTTTATATAGGCTACAGTATAAGTTCCCTGGATCCATGTAACAAGGCAACCCTGGGTACTGGGAAGCAAAAGGCTACTCTCAGCCCAGGGGTCCAAGAGTTTCTTTCTCCTGTAGTTTAACAAAGACTTTGTACTAGTACCCATGATTTAACCTGTCCTAGCTGCTGGAGACAGGATGGCCCTATCCTCAATGCACTTTGTTTATAATAGTAATATTGAGATATAATCTACATATCACATAACTCACCTATTTAAAGTATACAACTCAATGGTTTTTAGTATATTCACAGATTTGTGCAACCATCACCACAATCTAATTTTAGAACATTTTTGGCACCCCTAAAAGAAACACTGGACCCACCTGCAGTTACTCTCTATTCTTCCCTACCTCCTCCAATCCCTAAACTATTAACCATGGATTTGCCTATTCTGGATATTTCATATAAATGGAATTAAACAACATGTTGTGGTATTTTTGTCTGGCTTCTTTCAATTAGCATAATGCTTTCAAGGTTCAGCTAAGTTGTAGCATGTTTCAGCATTTCAATACTATTCCATTTTCTGGATCGATCAAGTTTTACTTATCTATTTGAACATACACCTGTATTCCTTCTAGTTCTGGCTATGATGTATGATGCTGCTGTGACCATCTGTGTACTAGTTGTACTAATATATTAGTTTTTCATGAACAACTGTCTTAAGTTCTCTTGGTATATACCTAGAAGTGGAATTGCTGGGTCATATGGTAACTCTAGGTTTAACCTGATGAGAAACTGCCAAATTATTTTCCAAAGCACTCACGCTATTTTACATTCCCACCAGCAATGAACGAGGATTCCAGTTTCTCCATATCTTCTCTGACATTTGTTATTGTTTGTCTTTTTTATTATAGCCATCCCAGAGATGTGAAGCGCTTCAATGTGCTTTTGATGAGGTTGCTAATAACTGCCTATCAACCTGCACGGGGGTTTGGGTCACTGTGCTGGACTTCTCTGCCTGCCTAAAATACTGATCTCTCCCCTTCTGGAATTTCTCTTTTCCTGGCTTCGGAGACCCCACCCACTCTACGTTCTCCTCCTCCTCTCTTACCTTTCCTTTCCAGGTGGCATCTCTAGCTCTCCCTTCTCCACTTACCCTTAAATGTAGTGCTCTACACACCCTATCTGGGTAGCCATGTTCGTTAAGCCATGTTTAACCAACATTTCTACCCCATGACTCCCAACTCTCCTTCTCTAGACAAGGCCTCTCTCCTAAACTCAAAACCTGTAATTCTGTCCACTCCCCAGACATCTCTACTGGACGGCCCACAAAGACTCCCAAGTTTTTCATCTTTCTCCATAAACTTGTCCCTTGTCCTGCATGTCCTTGCTTAGAGCACGGTGCCACCACCAAGAATACAGGCAGACAACTTGGAAAGTTGAAAGTCAACCAACTGCTTACCATTCCCTCACAAGACTGTAAGCCTCTAGAGGTCAGGTCTGTGTCTTTTGTAACACTTGTCTGAGTATTCAGCATTGTGCCCAGCACATGGCAGGCACTCAATAAATGCTGCCTGCTGAATTAAAGAGCAAATGGGCTCACCAATTAAAGAATCAGAAAGACACAAAAATCAGACAAGGACACAACAATCACAAAAATTATGAGCTAATATCACTGATGAATACAGATACAAAAATCCTCAACAAAATATTAGCAAACAGAATTCAACAATACAATAAAAAGATCATTCATCATGATCAAGTGGGAATCATCCTAGGGATGCAAGGATGGTTCAACACACACAAATCAATAAATATGATATATCACATTAACAGAATCAAGAACAAAAACTATATTATCATTTCAACAGATGCTGAAAAAACATTCAATGAAATCCAACATCCTTCAGGATAAAAACTCTCAACAAACTGGGTATAAAAGGAACATACCACAATACAATAAAGACCATATATGACAAACCCATAAATATCATAATAAACAAGAAAAATTGAAAGCCTTTCTTCTAAGATCTGAACAAAACAAGGATGCCCATTTTTACCATTTTTATGCAAAATAGTACTAGAAGCCCTAGACAGTGCAATTAGGCAAGAGAAAAAAACAAAGAGCACTCAAATTGGAAAGAAGTCAAATTATACTGTTCATAGATGACATATTATACTTAGAAAAAACATAGAGACTCCACCAAAAAACTGTTCGAATGGATAAACAAATTCAGTAAAGTTTCAGGATACAAAATCAAGATACAAAAATCAGTAGCATTTATATATAACAACAGTAAACAAACTGAAAAAGAAATCCAGAAAGTAATCTCATTTTCAATAGATACAACAATTTTTAAACACCTAGGATTAAATTTAGTCAAAAATGAATGATCTCTACAAAGAAAACTATAAAACACTGGATGAAAAAATTGAAGAGAACACCAAAAAATGAAGATATCCCATGCTCATGGATTGGAAAAAACTTTGTTAAAATGTCAATCTATAAATTCAGTGTAGTTCCCATCAAAATACCAATGACAATGCTTCACACAAATAGAAAATACAATCCTAAAATTTGTACACAACCACAAAAGACCCTAAAGAGACAAAGCAATCCTGAGCAAAAAGAATAACACTGGAGGTATCACACTACCTGACTTCAAAATATACTGCAAAGCTATAGTAGCCAAAATAGCACAGTACTGGTACAAAAACAGACACATAGACCAATGGAACAGAACAGAATCCAGAAATAAATCCATGCATTTACAGCCAATCTGTTTCCAACAAAGGTATCAAGAACATTCACTGGGTAAAGGACAATCTCTTCTAAATGTGGTGCTGGGAAAACTGGATAATTATATGCAAATAAATGAAATTAGACTTCTATCTCTCACCAAACACAAAATTCAACTCAAAATTGATGAAAAATGTAAATCTAACACCTGAAACTATGAAACTACTAGAAGAAAATACTGAAGAAATGCTTCAGGATTTTGGTCTGAGCAAAAACTTTTTGGGTAAGACCTCAAAGCATAGGCAACAAAACTAAGAATAGACAAATGAGATTGCATCAAGCTAAAAACAAACAAATAAACAAACAAACAAAAAAAACATTTGCACAGCAAAGGAAACAAAGTAAAGAGCCAACCTGAAGAATGGGAGAACATATTTGCAAACTATTCATCTGACAAAAGACTAATAACCAAAAAATGTAAGGAACTCAAATAACTCAATTTAAAAAACAGGCAACAGCTCTAATAGATATTTCCCAAAAGAAGACATACAAATAGCCAACAGGTATATGAAAAAATGTCCAACATCACTAACCATCAGGGAAATGCAAATCAAAACCACAATGAGATGTCATATCACCTCAGTTAAAATGGCTTTTATCAAAAATACAAAAAATGCTGGCAGGAAAGTGGAGAAAGGGAAATGCTCGTATACTATTGATGAAAATGTAAATTAGTACAGCCACCATGGAAAGCAGTATAGAGGTTCCTCAAAATAAAACTACCAATGATCCAGCAATCCCACTATAAGACATACATCCAAAAGAAAGGAAAACAGTATATCAAAGAGATATCTGCACTCCCATGTTTATTGCAGCACTATTCACAATAGCTAAGACACAGAATCAACCGAAGTATCCATTAGCAGATGACTGAACAAAGAAAATGCAGCATATATACACAATGGAGTATTATTCAGCCATAAAAAAACAATAAAATCCTGTCATTTGCACCAATGTGGATGGAACTGAAGATCATTATGTTAAGTGAAAGCCAGGCACAGAAAGACAAATATCACTCATGTGAAATCTAAAAAAGTAGACCTCGTGGAGGTATAGAGTTGATTGGTGGTTGCCAGGGGATGGGAAGAGGGGGTATATGAGGAGAGGTTAGTTAATGGATATAAGAATAGTTATATAGGAGGAATAAGATCTAGTATTCATGATGGAATATTATACAGCCATAAAGAACAAAATTATGGACTTCGCAGCACCTTGGATGGATTTAGAGTCTATAATAAAGTGATTTATCACAGAACCAAAGAACTGAGTACCACATGTTCTCACTCACAAGTGGAACCTGAACATTTACCATAATACTCTAAGAAAGGGATTGGCAGTAGCCGGAAACTGCTGGGGGGTGGGGACACATAACATTAATAAGGGTACCTGATCTCAAACCAGGCAAAGTGGGAACCAAAGGTAGGCTCAAACTTTACCTGTACAATGACCACTTATATACTCCACATCTTTAAAATAAATTTTTTTTTAAAAAAGATCTAGTGTTCAATAGTACAGTAGGGTGACTGTAACAATAATGTATTGTATAGCTCAAAATACCTAGAAGAAAATAATTGGAATATTCCCAACATCAATAAAAGGTAAATGTTTGAGGCAACAGATATTCCAATTACCCTGATTTGATCACTACACATTGTATGCATGTATCAAAAGATCACATGCACCCCAAAAATATATACTATTATGTATCCATTTTTAAAAATCAGAAAGACAACAGATTAAGTATGACATGAGAGTTGCTTAAAACAAAAAAAGTACAGAACATTCTAGAAGTCCAAAGAAAGGTTCAATTAATTCTGCCTAGCAGAATCAGAGAAGGCAATAGCCACACACCAAAAAAGAAATCCTTCTAGCAAAGATGTGAAAGACCTTTACAATGAAAACAACAAAACACTGCTCAAAGAAATCCAAGAAGACATAAACAAATGGAAAAATATTCCACACTCATGGATTGGAGGAATTAACATTGCTAAGATGTCCATCTCCTACCAAAGGCAATCATAGATTTAACTCAATATCCATTAAATGACCAATATCATTCTTGTCAGACCTGGAAATGACAATGTAAAATTCATATGGAAACATAAAAGACCATGAAAAACCAAAACAATCCTTAGCAAAAGAAACAAAGCGGGAGGTATCACACTCCCAGACTTAAAATTCTACTTTTATAAAGCTACAATAATCAAAACAGCCTGGTATTAGTATAAGAACAGGCACATAGACCAATGGAACAGGATAGAGACTCTGGAAGCAAAACCTCAATTTCTCAAGCAACTCATCTTTGACAAAGCCTCCACCAACAATCAATGGGGAGAAGGGAACTTATTCAGTAAATGGTGCTGGGAAAACTGGCTAACCACATGCAAAAGATTGAAATAGGACCAACACCTATCACCACACACAAAAATCAACTCTAAATTTACCGAAATGTAGAATCCTAGAAGAAAATGTAGGAAACACCCTTATGGAAACTGGAATAGGCAGCCAATTCCTGATCAACTCTCCAAAAGCAAATGTCATAAAAGATAAGATAGACAAGTGGACCTCATCAAACTGAAAAGCTTCTGTAAAACCAAAGAAACCATTAAGAGAGTGGGGAAACAGCCCATGGAATGGGAAAAAATATTTGCCAACTGTAAATCTGACAAAGGCCTAACATCCAGGATCTACAAGGAACTCAAACATGCTGAAAGGAAAAAAAAAAACCAACTCTATTTAAAAATGGGCAGAAGAAGCCGGGCTCGGTGGCTCAGCCTGTAATCCCGCGACTTTGGGAGGCTGAGGTGAGTGGATTGCCTGAGCCAGAGGGTTCGAGACCCACCTTGGCAACTTGGCGAGACCTCATCTCTACAATAAAAAAAAAAAAAGAGCCGGGTGTGGTAGTGCGCACCTGTAGTTCCAGCTACTTGGAAGGCTGAGGCAGAAGGGTCGCCGGAGCCCAGCAGGTCAAGGCTGTGGTGGCCAGGAGCAGCCACAGCACTCCAGTCTGGGTGACAGAGTGAGACTCCAACTCAAAAAAAAAAAAAAAATGGGCAGAAGATATGAATAGACACTTCTCAGAAGAAGACATATGAGCAGCCAACAGATACATGAAAAAATGCTCAGCCTCACTAGTCATCAAAGAAATGCAAATTAAAACCACACTGAGATACCTCCTAACTCCAGTCAGATGGCTATCATCAATAACTCAAAAACAACAGATGCTGGAGAGGATGTGGGGGAAAGGGAACACTTCTATACTGTTGGTGGGAGCGTAAACTAGTACAACCTCTGTGGAAAACAGTATGGTGATTTCTAAAAAATCTGGAAATCGACCTTCCATTAGACCCAGCAATCCCCCTTCAGGGAATCTACCCAGAGGAACTCAAATCACTCTATGAAAAAGGTACCTGCACATGCATGTTTACTGCAGCATTATTCACAATACCAAAAACATGGAACCAACCATGCTGCCCATCAAAAGTGGACTAGATAAAGAAAATGTGGTATATTTACATGATGGAATATTATGCAGCCATAAGGAAAAACAAAATTATGAACTTTGCAGCAAACTGGATGGAATTAGAGTCTATAATGCTCAGTGATTTATCACAGAAACAAAGATCTGAGTACCATATATACTCACTCACCTGAACATTTATCATAATACATAAGAAAAGGACTGGCAGTAGTGGGATACTGTCAGGGGAGGTGGGGCACATAACATCAATAAGGGTACCCACACTTAACCTGTATGATGACCACATATGTACCTAATCCTCAACTGTACCCCACATTTCTAAAATAAAATAATTTTTTAAAAAAGAATCAGAGAAGGCTTCCATAACAGAGAGCTTTAGAGTGAGCACTGAGAAAAGAGGCAAATAAAGATAAGAACTCAAACAATGTATCTAGCCTGGGTTAAAATGCTGCCAAGAATAGCTCTGGAATGTCCCAAGCAGAGACTGGCCAAATTGGCCTCTGTGGATAAAGAGCTGGGTGAGTAACAAGGGGTGTGCCAGTGTCTGAAGTGGAGGCCAGGATTAGACAGAAGTCATCTCCTAAGGCTGAGCAAAGCTCTCCCCAAGACTGGGCAGCCGACAGACCTTACTATCAGACCAGAGTGGGGGGCCCCAACAGTTACCATCGTGTCCGGCTGTCCCCCTGGCCTTCAGAGCCCGTGTGCAGGCGAGGGAAGAGCCCTGACCGCCGCTTGATGGGGCTCCGTGACTGGTTCTTCACCGTTGCTGCTGCCACCGGAGGCTGCCAATGAAACCACCAAAATGAGTGCTCCCATCACAAACCCTGCCTTCCCTTCACCCCCTTCCCAGGTCTACAAATGGCTTCCGGTCTGGAGGAGACCCCAGAAAATCGCAAGACAGCTAAGAAGACTGGGATCTGGGTAAACAGGAGCTGAGACTCAAGTCACTCATGGTCTCTTTTCCTGTATTAAGCCAAGCTTTGTGGTCCCAGGTAATGATCTACCAAAGACCAGAATTCTTGGAGGAACACACGGTCAGAGCCACCATAAAAGAAGCCCCACATAACTGAGAAAGTCAGGGTGATTCAGGGGTCACACACTGAGAACCACAAAGCTAAAGAGCCCCTGGAGTGACCTGGTTCAACCCTTCATTTTACTGATAAAGAAGCTTAAGACCAGAGAGGCAAGATTGCATCAAGGTCATCTAGCAAATCACTGGCAGGAGGAGGACTAGAACCCAGGGCTCCTGACTCTCCATTCATTGCTCACAAATAAATGAGCCCAAGCAGGTGTCATAATAACAAGACAGAATGAGAGTAGCAGAGCCATGTCCACATGCACCAACAGGCATGGGGGAGTCAGCCAAGAAGGTTTCTGCTTTGGACAACTCCTTGGTTTCATGGGGGGACAACGGAGGGGTGGGAATTTAAGGAAGGGCAGCTGACAGCCTGGAGCCCATCTTTAGAGCCACCAGTCCTCTAACCCAGGCCCTAACTTCTGCTGTGCAGATGCTAGGCAATCTTGGGTGAATGGTGAATCCCTCTGGGCCTCAGCCTCTTCATCCACAGGATGGAGATAATAGCCCTGCTCTGTTCTCCCCATGGGCCTTCTGGGAGGAACAAGATAATAGCTATGAAAACATATGGTAAATTAAATTAGTTGTGCAAGGCTATTCATGATACTAATCATTAGCATCGTGGTAGGTCTGTCCTGCTATTTTAAAAAAGTAAATCCTAGTCCATACAAATTCAAAGCCACTTAGCTTTATAAAAGAACAAGCTATGTGGTTCCCCCACTTCCCTAGCCCCTGGTACAAGCCAACCATGCCTGAACTCACAGACCTGCGGGACCCTCTTTCCTTGGGAACTATACACACAGACCTGCACTCAAACCCAGTTCTTAAGCTTAGCTGGGTGACCTTTAGCAAGTCACTTAGCCTCTCCAGGCCTCTCCTTTCTCAAATGTGGACTGAAGAACACATCAGCACCTACCTCAGGCAGTTGCTATAGGGATCAGGTGAGATCATGTCTATGGGCTAATAGCTCAGTGCCTGGTACACAACTAGCTGGGATGGCTCCTGCTATCATTAGTAATAACACAGCAAGAACACGCCTCTCGCAGTCATGGGTCCCACACCCCCGGGGCAGGTAAACACCCCCAGAACCATTTTGCAGTGTTGGCCCTGAGAAGGAGGCCCAATTACTGAGGAAACTCAGAGAATAGGACAACAAGAGGGCTTCCAGTCTGGGCCAACTTCCAGTATCATTTGGGATGGAAGCTCCCAAGGATTATTTTCAGAGGGCAGGGGCTGGGGTCACCCCAAGCAGCCTCAGTTCCCCTCTGTCATCTAGCTTGCCCTGCTCATGTCACATAGCCAAGCCCAGGTAGGGGCAACCTTCCTCCATAGGTCTGGGAGGACCCTTCTGGGGACCCACATGCTGTCCCAGGGTCTGCTGACACTCACCGAGAAAGTGGTCTTGGTGACTTCCGTGCTGTTGTGGGAGATTCCCCCGCTGAGGCTGCCAGGGATGCCCCCACTGTGTGGCTTCTTCTGACTGCCCACCATGGTCTCCATGGAGTGGCTGCGCACACGGATGGCCCTCTGTGGGGAGATTGGGATTGGGAGGAGAGGACAAGGGCCTGAGAATTACCACCTGGTCACTCTGGCTGGCCCTGCCCTCTTCATGGGGTCTGTAGACACAGCCCTCAGCATACACATACACACACACACACACACACACACACACACACACACACACACACACACACACACACTCACAGACACCCACACTACAGTCACTACAGTTTATAGGAAAGTTTCCCATATTCTGTCACATGCTCTGGGTATGCAAGGAGGTGAGGCAGAGCACTGGCTGGGGGAAATCTGAGGGGCCAGTGCCCCAGCTCCAACAAATGTAGACAAAGGTGGTTATCCCCATCTTAAAGGTAAGGGAGGTGAGGCTTGGAGTTTGCCAAACCTGTGGGATACTCATCTGGAGACCAACCTCTCCTCATCTGTAAAATGGGAATTACATACTTTGTGCAGAATTGTGGTGGGGATTAAACACAGTCAGGTACCTGACTCTTTTTTCCAGAAAACTAAGCTTCCTTCTATATTTATACACTGGAGATTCCCTTCTGCTGTCATCTTAAAGTATGCTTTGTGCAACTTGAAATGTATTAACTTTGGTGAAACTGAGTGAGGAGCTCTTGCATATCTATGCATGGAGCCATGCACTGAGCCATTCCTCATGCTCACAGGGGGCTTCATCACGAGGGCACTTTAATCACGAGCCCATGGTCTGACGTGGCTGTCGAAAGAGGAGACACATGCTCAGACCGGGTAGAGGTGCAGGGTCTCAGGAGGCATGGGGCTACCAAAAAGCAAGAGGCACCCTGGCAAATGGTGGAGTATCCAGCAGAAGATCACCAGGACAGTCAGGTCTTCATCAAAGTGCATGTGAGAATGAGAAGAACAGCAAAAACAAGATTGTTGAGCCATGGGTAGGATGGACCAGGGAGGCAGCAACCACCTTCTCAGACTGTGCTGCATGCTGCGATGCTCTGGACGGGACCAAAGGGGAATGTTACACTGAGGCAGAGCTCAGCTTGATCTAAGGGAGGAGTTCCTGATAAGAGAAGAACTAGGGTATTCCAGCTACTCCCTGGATGTTGCTCCCTCTGGTTTCCGGAGGCCTTCACCGATGATGTGAGAGTTCTAGGAAGAGGAGATTCTCTTTGGTATCCCAGAATCCTTGTATCACCTCCCTTTGATCATTCATCCAATCACTCAATACCATGGCCAGGCAGCAATGCAACTTAACAGTCAAAAGCACAAAAGCCTTCGAGCTGCACTGCCAGGATTGATATCTGGGCTGTCTACTCCACCCAGTCAGGTGACTTAGCTTCTCCCAGACTTATCTGTGAAATGTCATGAGGATGTCAACACATGTCGTGAGATACATATAAAGCTCTTAGGAGCTTAGGAGAGAGGCCGGCACAATTAACATGGCTACTTTGCATCACTTATAATAAGCATCTGTTGTGTGCTTCCCATGTACCCAGCACTGTGCAAGGAACTGGGAGAATTGCAGTAGGGAGGTCAAAGAAGTATAAGACACAGCCCTGCCTTCAAAGAGTGCCCAAGCATACTCCTAAAACTGGGGCAATGCTAAAAAGTCCAGCCTTCTCAAATCAGGAGTGGAGCATTCCTTCTGCATTAATTAGTCATCCAGGCCCCTCAATGACAAAGACTTCCAGACACGAATACTACTAGTTGCTCGCACACAAGTATCAACCCCACTCCCCACGTTCTCTGCAGGCAGAGCCACAGTCTGATCCAACATCTCTTATTCCTCCATGGGACACAGAAGTAAGTCATGATTAGCCTAAGGTTAACCCATTCTCTTGCCAGTGGAACACATGGGCATCACCTGCTGGGGGCTTTGGGGAAAGGTTTCCTCAACGATTCCCAAAAAAGATGTGACATTTCTATACCTATAGCAACAACCTTGGGGTTGTGAGGGACCAAGCCTGTGGGATGAAGCCAACAAACTGAGATGACAGTGGGGAAAGCCAGAGAGAACCTGGATACTGATGACCAACTGACCCAAGAGCCACCTGAATCTTCATGCTACATAAGCTCATGGACTTTCCTTATCATGATGTGAGTTAGTCAAGGTAGGGTGTTCTCATTAACTCTGGCCTTAGAAAATGAATGCAGGACTAAGATGTGGGCCCTGCTCTCTTCCTCTCTGGATTCATGCCCATGCATGTAACAAACATGTCAACTTACTCACCCCATGTGCCAACCTACAGATGGGCTCATGTGGAAGAACAAACTCCCTTCCCTCCTTGAGGCATCCAAGGAAGAGTTCGGTCCATGGCAAGGCGGTCCCAGAAAAAACAGCAGGTCTCCCTGGGATCTCTTGAGGCCAGGAATTCTCCAAGTTTGGGAATGGCAAAGGACCCCATCCTACCTGCCTTTCTATCCTGACAAGGGATGCAGATTCAAGAAGGCCATTTGCAAGCATGATAGCCCTCGAAACAAGCTACTGAGAATGGGGCACACAGCCCACCAGCCTCATACCACTGATAGTCTCTCTTGTCTGAGTCAAAGATGCCCCTTGAGGGACATCACCTCTGGCTCCCTCTTTAGACCAAAAAACAAAATCACCTAGCAACAGTTTCCTGGGACATTGTGAAAATAACCAGCACATCCTATTCACTCCATCATTTGAACATCAGAAAGCTACATACCCTTTGGACAACTGAGGGCAGGACAGGTGTGACAGCACACTGAGGTGTCCCTGGATGAGTGGTAAAGTTCCCTGAATGAGTTAAGTGCTCCATAAATCTCAACATCTTTATAAGCCTTTGATGCCCTCATCTGTTACCACCACTGTCCTCAACAATGTCAGCTCCAACTAATTATCTGCATTTTGATATAGTTATGCACCACATAATGACATTTCAGTCCATGATGAACCACATATAAAACAGTGGTCCTGTAAGATTATTTTTACTATGCTTAGGTATGTTTAGATATACAAATACTATTGTGTTAGTTGCCTACAGCACTCAGTACAAGTTTGTAGCCTAGGAGCAATAGGCCATATCATAGAGTCTAGGTATGTAGAAGGCTAGACCATCTAGGTTTGCGTAGGTACACGCTGTGACACACACAATGACAAAATCACCTAGCGATGAATTACTCAGAGTGCATCCCCATCATTAAACAACACATGATTGTAATCCTCACTACCCCCCCTAGAAAAGATTCAATGTAGATAACAAGCCTTGTGCATTAGTATCTGATTTAATGAGCTTCACATACATGATCTAATTGAATCACAACAACTCTGAGATGCAGAAAGGACAGGCATTGGATAGAAAAGATCTCAAAAAGTAAAGGATGCCCAAGGCCACAAAATAGGCAAGAGATGGACCCAGGACGCTGGGCTCCAGATGAAAGGGTCCCTATAGCCCTAAAACTAGCCTTAATTGAAAATGTAACTCAACTGGTAGATGAACTAAGGATGACAAGAAACCAGGAGTTTTTAGGGATTTACACACATACACACACAAAATCTCAGAAGCTGATGTCAGTCAAGGAGGACACCAGCTCCTCAAAAATAGCATCGGTGATGCTATCAGAGTCAGTGAGATCAGTCTGGGAAGACAATTGGCTGATGGGAAATTTCAGAGGAGTGCAGGGTGGCAGTCTGCTGTTCAAAGCAAACAGGAAGGGATTGAAATCCTGCTCTTCCCATTGCTTGGTGTGCGAACCTCTCTAAAAAGCAGTCTCTTTGCACAATGTGGTGACAGTCCCCACCATGAGGAGCTGTCATGATGATGACATAGAGTATATGTACAACAGCAGGCATGAGCCCTGCCTGCTCAGGGTCAGCTCTCCTCCCCTGCTCCTAGGGAGACAAGGAGAGAGAGGTGACAGCTACCTCTAAGCCCTAAAATAAAGCTTGATTTAGACAAAACTGCCCAGTGAAACATTCTGAAGAACTTCCCAATTCAGACTGATGTTGAGCTGGATAGAAGCATTAGCCTTCTCAAATCAGACAGAAGAGTTAGTTAAGGTGAAAAGGAGAAAGGAAGGCAGTGATAAGGGAAAAGGAAGGCAGGAGAGAGGAGGACAGGCACAAGAAGGCTTTGCATCAGCATCAGGACTACCTGGACAATCTGCCAAGTGGTCTCCAGGACCACTCAGCCCCTAGTACCTTCCTGATCACCCTTACCTCTCCTCTGCTGAGTCCCCAGGGACCAGCTGCTCCTGCTGCCTGTTCCGATGGTGAAAATCCTGACCTTTGGAAAATTCTTCTTTGCACCAAACTGAAATCTTACCATTTCTGGGCCTGGGAGTCTCGGGGCAGTCTGTTTCACTACTTCCCATGACCATCCCCTGCTGTCCTGAGTCTGCGCGCTCCTCCCAGCTAATCATCTCCAGTTCCATCAACCACCCTCAGTATAACTCACTGCTTTCCTTTGAACAAGTACTCCTTCAGGGGAGTGAGAAGAGAGAGACAGTGCTGCTTTCTCATGATCTGCTTGAGTCACCTTATTTCAGCCAGGGCGTGAGCACTATTCATCGTCACAGAGAGAACATTTCCCTTCCTGGCCAACCACACCCCTTGTTTCCTTACAAGTGGGTTTCATGAGCTGTTTCAATGTAAGAAACTCAGCTTAAGGGACACAAAGCAGGGAGACGAGAACCAAGAGGGATGTGCTTAATCAAACCAGGCAAGCGACAGAGGCAGGGCCCTTGGAGACAAAGATGCTAATTTCTTACCTGCTGAAGTGGCTTCTACTCAGAAAGCACTCTGAGGTCCCACATGGGGTCTTTTGTCCCTCTAGCAGGGCAGACACAGGACAGAAGCCGACACTCTACTCCAAGAGACCATGGCTCCAGCTCCTGAGCTGAGAAAGCACAAGGCCTGAGCTCTCTCTCAGTGGACCCACACTGCAATGGGACTACCCTGACATCACAACTTCCTGTCTCAAGAGGAAAGGTGGGGGCAGAGATGTCAAACACCAGGGGTTCCACCTAGGCCCCTGCTGGACTCCATCCACCATCGCTGGCACTGCCGGGGCTGCCCCTGCTTGCAGGTTCTGCATAGCCACAAAGACTTTGCCAGGGAATAGCCGCAGTCTCTCCTGCCACTAGGGGTCAGGTCAGACCAATGCATTAACCATCACAGTCCCTCAAAGGATGGGAGAAATTAAGCTGACAATTCCCTGCTTGCTGTGGTCCAATTTTTGCTGCAGCCAACCAGGTGGCCTTCTCCTTCCTGGTCCTCTGTCCACTTTTGTATGGTCAACAGAGAGTTGGGTTAGCTCAGTGTTTCTCAAAATGTATCATACAAGTGCTTTGTGTCCATGGCATGTGGACACATTAAGTATCGTCACTTTTTCTTTTCATTGCATTGAGGACCAATAAAAACCTCATCAACAGCTGGCAGTGACTGAGAATGGCATTTAAGAATAATAGTCCAGAGATCAATATCCTTCAAAGATGAATAATGTGCAGCTCCTTTATAAAGAAAAATGTCCTTGCAAGACTCCCAAGAATATGCCCACAGATCTCCCAACACCAGAGGTCCCATGGGCTGCATTTGCTACGCCAACTTCACGCCTTACCTATTTATTCCATAGAAACGTCTTTTAATTGGGAATTATCACTGCAAGATTTAGTCTTTATAATTGGATTTTTTTTAGCTCTCAGTGAAAATGCAAACTTTAGAAGTGCTTATAAAACTAACAAATCCCTGAGAATATCTCCAAGCAGCTCGGTTTGAAAAGTAGGTCTAGATGTCCATAAACCAACTGTTCTGTGCCTTGTGGAAGAAAAGCTTCATTACAGCAAGATGTAAAGAGCTACTCTATGTGATGTGAGGTGCCAGGCGACACAGCCCAGAGGAATGTGGGTCTGCTTCTGAGGAGACAAAGGGTCAGTGCTGAAGGGTATGAAGGAGAACGGTCCCAAGAGAGGTGAAGGCATGGATGGCTAGAATCACTCTCAGTCATGTAAATTCTCAATTATGTTCCCATCCCAAGTCACCCAGCAGATAGAGTTGAATCCAGGTCTGCTGAATTCCACAGTCTGTACTCTTAAGTGCTATGTGATACTACCTTTCAGCTTCTGGCTCAACTAAGGTTCCACCCATGCTAGCCTGGGTCTGGGCAAGCCTGGGGCCAGTCGCTCACTGCCCAGCTGGACCGCAGAGAGTAGGGCATGGCTCTGCTGACCCTAGTTGGGCCCAGCTGCCAAGATTCCTCCAGGGGTGAGAGGAGGAGCCGAGCTCCTTGCCCAGGCTGGTGAGAGATTCCTGGGGCACCTGTTTTAGTCCTGATGAACAGTGGTGGACAGGGTAAAATAAAAATTGGGAGAAGGAGAAAGAAAAGGGATGAGGGAGAAGAGGAACAGGGAGAAAAGAGGGAGCCAAGTCGGATAGCCCAACCAAGATAGGGTGAATGAAAGACATAGTAAATAGGGAAACACAAGCTTGGATCTGGAGAAGACAGATAGGAGAGACCACAGAAAGCCCTTTGTAGACTCTGAACTCTTACTTCTGGAGGCCCTGTCCCACCTATAGCAAGCCTATCAAATGTTCCACATCCCACAGGAAATATGATTTATATAAAACTAAGAATTGAGCTGTAGTTGACTAGATAACATCATGTTATATTTTGTAGATATTTAATGAAGCATTTGTTGCTTTGAGTTTTGCAGGTTTCTATGAGTATTGTAGGTGACAACTGGTTTTTTTAGGTTTCAAGATTTTGTATCTTGGGGAAGCTTGTAGGCTATAGCCACTCTGTCCATGGTGCCCAATGGATAAGGTGGCCCATCAGCTAAATAAATACAGGTTGCAGGTCTAAATAAGAGTAGTCCCAGTCCAGTCCCCTGCCTCTGGCAGGAGCAGTAATTGATCTGTTTGGCTTCCGGGGCCGACATATTCCTAAAGGGATTGCTAAAAGAGAGGAGATGGCTTTAAGGCTTTATCATGACTCGCCTTTGATCCATTAATCCAGGGAATTCTCAACAACAAATCCTTGCAACTGTAGGTTGAAGACAGACCTGCTTCTACATTCTGCTTTCACGCCTGTCTCTGAGGTAGCACCATGGGACAAGGAAGGGTAATGTCACAATCAGTCACACAGGGTAAGCCTTCAGGGCTCTGAAGATTGTAATCAACTTTTTTCTCCTCCCAGCTGGGGAACATGAGCTCTTTTTCCCTGGCTCTTTCATCATGCCCTCACATCTCCCAAGCATAGAGGCCTGAGCCGGGGGTAGGCCAGGCTCAGTCACAGGGAGTCCAGCGGCCAGCAGGGGAATCTGACATTTAGGCTGTGCCTGGCCCAGCTCAGGAAGCCATCTCTAGTTTTGGTGTTTCTTCATGGACACCTTGGCAGGGTTATGGTGTCAGAATTATTGGCATTCCCCATGGAGTTCACCAAGACCTCCATGGGATCCCTCTAGAAAGAAGTGGTACCTAAAATGATTCCAGGAAGAAAAATGGTATGTTTTATTTTCTTCCTGTCAAAGTTCTCATCTCACAGACAGATTATTTTGTCTCTGAGGCTTTGTTTCCTCACATGTGAAACTACATTCATAATTATTAAAATTGGGTAAGAATTATTATACCAAAATTATCATACCATAATAATAGCCTTCCCCATAGGGCACTGAGTGGCTTATGGTGGGACTGTGTGTGAAGTTTTTGTCTTTATACAACAATAACAATAGCTAATACTTCAGAGCACGTACAAGAAGGGATTTATTTATAAAAGGGGAGATAAAAAATTATGTATTTACTCTACATGTTTAAACTTCAGTCACCTTCAAAGTACTGTCTGTTTGACGCAATACATCAATGGAGACACTTTTCTGCTCAAAACAGTTTTTGAACTCATTGGTTTTGATGCCTTTTAGTGCTTCTGCCATTTTTTGTTTCACATCTTCCACATCAGCAAAACATTTCCCTTTGAGGACTTTTTTCATCCAGGGTAACAAAAAAAAGTCACTCAGGGTGAGATTAGGTGAATAGGGAAGGAGGGCACGGGGCGGGGGGGGTCATGCTGTTTTGGGCCAAAAACTGCTGAACACTCAGCATGGTGTAGGCAGGTGCATTGTCATGATGGAAGAACAAGTCACCTGTTTCCACAACTCAGGATGTTGCTTCTGCAAATCATGACACAACCTTCTCAAAACTTCCAGACAAAAACTTTGGTTGATTATTTGATCCAGAGGAAAAAATTCCAAGTGCACTATAAGGGGCCAGTCCCCCAAAAGATAATTCCACGCTTTTGGAGGTTCCCTCCTTGTACTGTATTTCAGGCAATATGTACTTTTCCAGGCACTATTTCAATGACTTATCACAACTCTATGACAGAGGTCCTCTCGCTGACAAGACAACTGTAGCTTAAAGACTTTAAAGATCACAGTCAGGATCACAAAGAGTTGGGTTATGAATATAGGCAGATCTAACCCTAACCTTACACATGCTTTCCCCAAATAATCACTCTCTAATGGGAAATTCAGCAGAACACTGACCTAAGAATCAAAAGACCTGGGTTTGAAACAAGGCTCTACCTCTAAGCAGAACTAAGGTTTTGAGGTCCTATGCCCTCTCTCGGCCTATCCCCTTCATGTGTTAGCAATAACAGGACCCATTCAGCCATCCACACAGGACTATAGCGCAAATGAGATGCCGGATATAAGTGCTATGTGGGCCAACAAGCACTCAGCAAGCATGAGCCAATGAACACACACACACATACCAGTTCAGTGACTGTCCGAGCTCCACTTGAATACTTCCATGGACAGGGAGCTCACTGCTTCCTTAAGCAGCTCATTCTAGTCAGAAAGCTCTTCCCTTGGCAAAACCCAAAAGGACTTGCCTGTAGTACTCCAATGCCCTGTCAGCTGGAAAGAATCATTGCAGCATCCCACACCGGCTCCTGAAGACCCCATGGCATGTGTCCTTGCTCCTGCCACTCTGCCCTGGGCTCCTCAATCACAGGAGGAGGTCAGTGAAAGCAGTAATGCTCTTGGTTTGCTCTGGCTCCTCTCCTCCTGCTAACTCTTGACCTGTCCCTGCTGATCAGACTCCTGGGTCAGGTGGAGATGATCAGTTCAAGGGAGGACATGGAGGATGCTGGAGACACTGTTGGCTGCTCTAATCTCCCATACTTCCTAATGCCCCAGCCCTTTGCAGTCACCTGGGATGCCACTACTGGTCCTGTCACCTCTGGCTGGCACTTGGGCTCTGGGGTCAGGATCCCCCGAGCCTTGGACCACTTTCTTTCTTTGCTCCATCCCTCCCCGCCACAGCAACTGTCAGACACTCTTGTGCCAGTACCTTAAAAGACTCCAGGAATCCCCCATGGCCCCCGTTCTCAAACTTGTCCTCCTCTGGGCCCAATCCTAGCATGGCCTGTGTGTGGGCGTGGAGCTCGTCGTGAAGGTTGTCCAGGAGGGCAGCCCTCGTCCGGTCCTAGAAGGGAAGAGGGTAGAGAATACAGTGGAGAAGCTGGCACTGAGAGCAGAGATATGCCCTCTGCCCGTGGGCTCCAGACACCTGTCCTGAAGGCTGCTATTCTGCCCAACCCGTCCCAGTGGCAGTATGGCTCTCCAGCAGGGCTGAGCTTCATGCTCACAAATGCTGCAGCTGATACTAAGGCTTCATGCCTGACCCCTTACTCTCATCCCTCTGCCTTTCCCCCTGAACCACCCCACCACTCCTGCAGCTCTACCCTGGTGGGTCCCAGCCCAGACCTCTGCCCTATGTTCCATCCATGCACCCAACTGCCCACAGCTCCTTTCCATCCAGATGTTCATCCAGGGCCACGTCTATGGTCTCCAGGGGGCGCCATTCACACAGACCTGGACTAGCCTCTTCAGCAACCCAGCCTTTGCAGGCACATGAACGCACATCAGCAGAACTCGTCCCTGTGTCATCAAAAAGCTCAAGCCAAAGGCCTAAGAGTCACCCTGCAATCCCATTTCCCCCACCATTACATCCAGGTGTACATCAAGTCTTCCCAAGTCTGACCCTAAACCCTTATACTGGATGTATAAGCCTTCAATATCTCTTCTGGACTCCTGTGAATAACTTCTGACACCACCTTCCTGCACCTCCTCCCCTTCAGTCTATCCTCTCACCAATGTCAGAGTAATCCCTCTAACGTGCAAATCAAATACATCCCTCTCCTGCCTCCGCACTTCATCAGCACCCCACCTCCTCTAGCTCAGAGCCCTTCTTGATCTGACTCAACCATCATCTCTAGCTGAGTCCCCCACCATTCCAGCCCCCAAGAATTCTTATCTCAGGCCGCACTAAATTCTCAGGAGTTCCTTCACAAAGTCGGCCTATGATTCTGCCTGGCCTTCGGTCATGCTGTTTCCTATGCTGGGATAACCCTCCCACTCTTTCCTCCAAGCAAAAGGTTAATCACATATCAAGATTTGGCAGTTTGAGGGCTACCTCCACCAAGAAGCCTTCCTGAACATGTCCTCAGCCCCCCACAGGCAGAAGCAGTCACTATCCCCAAGCAGTACTAACCTCCACCATCACAGCCCCGTGCTGGCACACTATCTCTTTAGTAACGACCCCCTCCCACCAGCCCATAAACTCTAAGGGCAGAAAGTGCATCTCGCTTATCTCTGTATCCCAAGGAACAGAACAGGGCCACAGTCAGTGGTCAATAAATGATTGTTAAATGACTGACTAGACCTGAAGTCTGGATGGAGTTTCCACTAGAGAGAGTTCCTGTATCAGCATAGGGCTGTGGGCTTAGAGGGGCAGACACAGTGCTCCCTACCTCGAACAGTCATCAAGAATAGATCCCTGAGGGAGGCTGCCTAATAGGCAGCCAGGCAGGCAGGAAGAAGACCTTAAGAAACCATGCTCTCACCTCCAGCTTTGCAAACTTGTCCGACTTGCAGCAAGCGTTCTCTGCATTGGTGAGTTTGGTGAGCAGAAACTCCCTGAACTCTGGGCCCTGGAACAGACAAGATGGCCCACAATTCTTCCACCCTAAGCCTTTGCCAGAAGGGCTTCAGCCACAGTAGCAGGTAGACAGAACAAGAGGTCTGGGGACAGAACCCGTTAAAGGGTTCTGATGTTTAATCACCTCTAGCCCAGGCCAAGTCCACCTGCTAATATGCCAACATGGAAGTCAGTTTCCCTGGTCCTGGGAAATCAACCCTCCACAGTGCACTTCCATGACTGGAGACAATTCTTGCCCAAGACTCCTGGGATAGGAGCATGGCACAAAAACCCTTATTTTAGCAGAAAAGCAATCCCGGAGTCAAATACTCCTGAAAAGTGTCCCTATGCTGGGCCAGAATGGCAGCATAAGGAGCGATGGGGAGAGACCCTGAGTAGGGAGGTTCTCCCAAACCTGTAAAAAGGTCTCCCTAATGTTCCCAGCCCGAATTCTGCCACACCCCAACCACTACCACACAAGAATTGAACCCTGGGGTCCTGGATGTGAGAGGAGCAGAAAGAAGAGTGTCTTACCTTCTGGAAAACAGGGGGGCTGGGCAGAGGTGGGCCAAAGGCAGGCACATCTTCCCGTGCAGTTACAGAGACCTGAATGAAACACAGGGTCATAGTGATGGCCAGAGGGAAGAGAAGAGCACTTCCCCTAGGGGAGCCACACTTCTCCCAGCAAAGCTACTCACCTTCTCCCTCCTCCCCTTCCCAGAACACAAATAAAACACTCCTGTGAGTATCATCAGCATAGGCCCAGGGTCACTGTTCCTAGAAGTGGGACTGGACAGTACAGAGCCATCCGCATCCACTCATCTGCGTTCCTGGAGGCCGGAAGCAAGTTTGGCATGATGACTGGACAGGGCTGAGGAGCAGTCTAAGACCCTAATTTTAATGCAGTACAAGTGCCCAGAAGATGTTATCTCATGACATCATTCAACTGTGATGCTAAACCTTCAGGGAAGGCACAATGAGATTTTTCCCTGATGGGGAAACACAGCGACATAGAGAGAGCCCCCACAAAGTCACACAGGTGATTAGCTACAGAGCAGAACACAGAATTCAGACCCTTCCTGATCCAGCTCTGGGGCTCTTTCTCTACCACTCTGACTCTCCAACCTGGCCATAAATCAGAACTGCTTCAGGTGTTTACAAAATAAACACTGATCACACAGGCTCCATACCAAACCTACTGAATGGGAAGTTTGGAGCTCCTGAAACTCTTGTGCAGCCACCGGACTTGTGTTTGGGAATCCTGGCCCTGCACACAGGGTCAGCCAGTCTGGGTGATGCTCAAACTAACAGAGCACCAGAACCCAGGCTGGGAATTGAGGGTAGGGTGCCCACCTCTGGGCAGCCTGAGTGAGGTCTGAAATTTGGAGTGACAACATCCAGGTGTTCTGAATGGGGTGGGGGTCTCCTGGACTTGGGACAGGCTCCACGCTTCCACTTCCTGTCTGCATGGAGATGCCCTGGTTTCACCTGCTCTCAGCCCATGAGGCTGCAGGGCTCTCCAGAGACTACCGTCTCCCTTCCCCAAGCACCCGCTGACGTGAGCTTGGCCCTGGCGTTCCGCCAGCCTTCCTGGCCTGTGAAGTAGGGCAGATGCAGAGAGTCTGCCAGACGGGGTGAGCAGGCACTCGGCACCAAGCCAAGGAAAGGCCCTGCCAGGGTCCGGAGGAGAAACGGAGGGGGAGAGAGTTGGTCAATACAGGCTTTCTCTCTCCAAGCTCAAGGCTTGTCTGCAAAGCCCAGAGTCAGGAAACGGTATGTGTGCAGTTGATGTGATTTCTGGCTGGGCTCCAGCTACTGAACACAGTTCCCTACCACCACTCACCAGGCACCAGTGGCCCAAGTCAGGAATTCCACCCACAGAGGCAGAATTTGGGGTAGGGGTTCGTGGGAGGGCCATGGAGAGGCTTTCAACTACAGGCATCAGGGACGAAAGACAGAGGACAGGCCCAGTTCTTCCCTTCCCACCCCGACTTCTCCTTCTCAAGCATGCATGAGAGTGGTCTATAGCTGACTGGGTGACTTCATATACACTCCTAAATCCGTCCGCATCTTCCAGCTGGACAGCCGCACTGCAGCAGCCATGTCAGAAATGGAGGGGGCAGGATGCTTCCTTGTGCTATCCATTCACATTCCCTCCTCATTCTGTTCCCTCCCCTGACCCCATTCCAATGCAGCGGCCAGGCCTTTGTTGTTCCCTTCTCTTGGGGACATCTGGGTTGCTGAGCTGAAAGCAGAAGTTGCCTGAACACATCCCCACCTTCCTGTTTTCTAAATTCAGTGAGGGCCTCCTGGCAAGGGCTCAGAGGGAGGGAGGCAGAAGCAGGTGAATCTAAGGAAGGAATCTTCAAGACTGGAAGGCAGAAGGAGCTTGGAGTGTGAGTCATGAGAATGCTCCAAGAACCTCAGAGGGCTCAAAACTTGACAAAATCCCCACTAGAGCTTGGGAGGACCATGAAGAGGTTGTCCAAGGGACAGGTGAGCAGTGATGGGAAAGGAAGAGAGGCCACAAAGACAGGACCCTCCCCAGCAATCTACTTCACATGAGATTCCTGAAACTTCTGTAGGACCTCAGGAATGGAGGACAGGGAGACCCTAGAGAGGAAGACAAGGGAGTCCTAGTGTGGTTGAGCTGGAAATTCCTTCTAGTTTGGCAGGATGAGGTCTACACTTGTTTTGGAAAAATAATCCAGTGTGAAATTTCTTGCACACCAAAGTGTGTGGAGCTAACTTCCCACCTGCTCCCATGGCTCAGTGACAAAGACCACAAGCAGACCCAGACGAGAATCTCAGCACCACTGCTCCCCTGGCTCTGTGGCCTCAGGTCATGAGTTACTCTCTCAGCCTCAATCTCCTCCCTATAAATAGGACTAATGAGAGTCCCTGCCTCACCAGGGAGTTGTTAAGCGGCTGGGCTCCGTGGCTCAGCCTGTAATCCCGCGCCTTTGGGAGGCTGAGGTAAGTGGATTGCCTGAGCCCGCGGGTTTGAGACCCGCATGGGCAACTTGGTGAGACCTCATCTCTACAATAAATCAAAAATTAGCCGGGCGTGGTAGCGCATGCGTATAGTTCCAGCTACTCGGAAGGCTGAGGTAGAAGGATCGCTGGAGCCTAGCAGGTCGAGGCTGGGGCGGCTGGGAGCGGCCACTGCACTCCAGTCTGGACGACAGAGTGAGACTCCAACTCAAAAAAAAAAAAAAAAAAAGATTCAAGAAGACCATGCTTCTAAGGGCCTAGCACAGCGCCTGGTGAGGAGTAACCACTGTCGCCTAGTGCTTTTTTACTTTCCCTGCTGACCTGCACTTAATAAGAGCACCTAAAACATACAGTTTCCCCCAAGCCACTGTGTAATCCACCACACACAATCACACACACTCTTTCTCAACTCCTCCTCCTTCCCCTCCCACAGGATGTCAGGGCTAGAAGGAGCTTTTATGGGTCCTCTAGTCCAACTTCCTCATTTCACACAGAGAAAAACAGAGACCCAGAGAGGGAAGGAATTGGCACAAGATCACATAGCAGGAGCAGGGCCAGGACCAGAACCCTAGGCTGCCAAGGCGCTCTGTGGAATGGAAAGGACCCTTTCCTGCTCATATCCACTCCCATCCTTTCCACCTTTCCTCTTCTTTCCTAAAGCTCGTCCTCCCCAGTGGAGGCCTCCTGGGGCATTGCTCAGCTCCTGGAGAAATCTCACCCTCCTTTGCCATAGTCTCTAAGGCCACAGGGGCCACCTAAGGTCCTGTTTCACCCATGCCCCTTGAAGGACCTAACCAGGTCCTCTCCACAGTCTGCTCATTACCTGGGGTACAGCCAGGGGTATGAATGAACAGCACTTTGGGGAGTACCTTAGAAGACTGATCTCCCTCCTGGCCCTCTGCCTCCCTGGCCCCATTCACACATCTTGCCTTCCAAATTCAGTGTCTGCCTGGCAGGTGGAGTGTCAGTCAAGGTCCTATAGCCTGGGGACTTGGCCTGCTCCTCCCCTAGGCCCTGCTTCCCAAAACCTCTCTATGGAAAGTGCTGTGCCCTGGACTGCAGACTTCTAACATCAAAGCTGGAGGTAGGGTAGTGTTTTCTTGGACCTCTTGTTTTTCTCTGAATGGGTACACCATACCACCAAAGGCCTTGGGAGAATGGAGAAGCCAGTTAGCTGAGATCCATCTCCTGTTAGGAACGAAAAGTAAATGCTAAATGTCCACAAGAGGCCTCATTCTTCCGACAGACAGGCCACACACACATGCCTGCCTGGCAGGGTCTAAGAGCCCTTCTATCGCAGTTTTATTTGGGGAATTCTCCTCACTAGTTCCTCAACTTCTATGGCTGCTAAAAGAACCAATTGGTTGTTTGAGCTGCCCAGTGGCTAAACTGCACTCACTGGTTCTTCTACCACTTCTCTGGGGTCAGGAAGGCCCTGATGGCCAATTCTATGTCACTTCCATGTGCCCCCCAGCCTGGTGCCTGGCACACAGTAGGCACTGAATGAGTAATCTTGCTTCCACCAACAAATTAACCAAGAAGCTCTCTGAGGTGAATGCCCATTTCAGTCAAAGCAGGTGAGCCTTAGCCTTCAAGAAATGTTCATACCACATGTTCTCCAAGTTCAGCTAAAATTGCTCAATGCCAGCATGAACATGGGCATATAAAGGAATCAGCTTACCTCAGCAAGGAGGAGATAGGGAGATGTCTTTTGGTTTTTCGTGTGTGTGTGTGTGTGTGTGTTGCTTTGGTTTTGTTTGTTTTGGTTTTGTTTGTTTGTCTGTCATCCAGGCTGGAAATGCAGTGATGCAATATAGCTCACTGCAGCCTCAAACTCCTGGGCTCAAGTGATCCTCCCACCTCAGCCTCCTGGTTTTTTGTTTTGTTTTATTTTTCGATGATTCTCATTTGGTTTTTAATTTTGACCTTAATACATCTGGGCTGAAGTGCTAAAGCATAGTAAACCCCAGGAATCAGCACTGGCTTAAATTATTATACAGAAAACACTTCCAGTTGCCTCACTGTTTCCCATACGCTTATTTTTCCTCTCCCTTAGAACAAGAGTCCATAATATTTTGCGGAGCAGGCAGCTCTTTGAGAATTTGAGAATTCTCTTCCTAGGAAATGAAGCAAAGGACACAAACTCAGCATTTCGCACATATCTGCAGCGTTCAGAGCCTGTCTAGCCTGCCCTGAAAGTCTGAAGTCCCCTGCCTCAGTCCATCGCCGTTGGGTCCCATGGCCCCCAAACTACTGTGATAGAGAGAAACTGTTGCCCAAGAGGTTGGGACTCTTTCTCGTGAAGAAACAGGAGAGGACCAGCAATCCAGCCATCAGGAGTAGGCAGGGCTGCAAGGACAATGTGCTGCACTCTCTCGGTCCCATTCACACTAAGGAGGATTCTGAGCCAATCAGAGAGGCCACTTACTGGTCAGGAGGTTTAGACCCGGTGCCTGCCTCCCTGTCTCCTTGGGAGTCTTCAAGTTAAGAGCAATAATTTGTCCAGAATGGCCAGGCCCGGGCACTCACCTAGTGGCCAGGGTGTACTAGGTCCTTCTCCTCTCCACCCCTCACCATAAACATTTCTCCTTTTTCTTTCTTTCCTTCATCACCACTTTTCTTCCTCTCTCCTTTCTTGACAGTCCTCTCTGAGCTCTCTGCTTTCTCTCTTCTAGCTCTGCCTCACTCTAGCAAATAGCATCCACAGGTTCCATATATGGTACGAAGGGCTTCTCAACCCTTGAGTGAGATGCTGTCGAGCGTGGAGACAGCAAGGTGGACTGGATGAACCCCAGAAGGTACTCTCCATCAAGAATCCAGCTCCAAGTCCCAGAGACCTGAAAACTCGTGGACAATCTATTACTACTGAGAACTAGTACTGTTTCCTTTGATTTCACTGAATCCACAAAGTACAGTGAAGTGCCTGGGCCCAATATTTCTTCCAACAAGGCATCTTTCTTACCTTGTAGGATGGGGTCTCTGTGCCTAGAGTCTCAGCCTGCACAACAATGTAGGCGTGTAAAAAGTTGGAGGCGATCATATCTGGGACAAACGGTGTGTTTTCTTCTTGGAAGATGATGGCCACAATGTCATTCCCAATGTGCCTCTTTCTCTGGAGCTGAACAAAAAAGTGTTCAATTGTTATGTCAGTTTGGAACATCCTAAAAACAGGTTTTCCTCAGGATTTTACCCTTATACATAAACCATGGGACTCTGAGACTCAACTCTCTAGGGGGCTTCCTTCAATCTTTAGAAGCCACCAAAGAAAAAAATTGGGAAGATGCCCAAGCTGTTAGGCGGATGCCAGTGAGTAGCTTACTGAGCTCTATAGTGTGCAGAGCCAGGACTCAGGACTTGGGGAGAACAGTGAAAAGGTGAGGCCAGGCCTTGTCCTGGTAGAGCCTGTAATTGATCCGGGAGAAATACAAACACAGGTGAAGCCACCTGATAACACTAACAAAGCCACCAGCCAGCAAGTACTAAATCAGCTGCTGCACACGAAGTGCCTGACAGCTTGGGGATAGAGAGAAGGGCAAAATCAGAGGGCCTGATAGCAACCTGAGAGGGCTTCCTGGAAGAGAAGATGGGACGCGGGGGTGGGTCTTGATGGAAATGTGGATGACAGGGATGAGGGGGTGGATCATTCCACCAGAGGGAAGAAGAGCCATGCCTAGAGAGGCATGAGTAACCTGGCTTGGTGCAGGTGGAATGAAGGGGGGAACCCAACCCCGACTCAGTATCCCAAACAATGCCAGGAGCTTTCACATGGGATCTCAGTCACCAAGTACCTACTGTGTGTCACCATGTTGGGCTGTTCACAGGCAAGATTTCAAATGTTAAACCTCTCCTCTATACCATGCTAAATGCCCACCTATGCATTTGTTCACTTATTAAGCACCTACTGCATGCAGGCCTATGCTCGGCCCTTTCACATTGAGTGTCTCATTTGCTGAGCACCTGTTATACACCAAGCACCATGCTGGGCACTTTTCTACAAATTTCCTCACTTGCTCCACACACATCATCCCATTTCCCAGGAAGAGAAAAATATGTATTCATTCCCTGCCGAAAGCCAAGCTCTGTGCCAAGGTATACCTCTCAATTAACATAAAGGAGACTAAAAGGGCCCTGAGAGAACAAGCTTTAACCCCAGGATGAGGCAGCAGGTGAGGAGAGCCACAGGGAAGAGAGATCAAGGGTGAAAGGCTGAGAGAAAACCTACTCTGGATACCAAAGGAATCCTGCTTCCATTTGTTTCTGGAACATTCAGTTGTTATTTTAGAGCTAAACCATAATCTGGTTTGCCAATTTCCTTTTTTCCTAAGAAGCCAGGCACAATGTTTACAATTTTACATCTGTGCTCCTTCCTCAGTTCTCTGCTTCGAAACAAACAGGTCAGAGTTTGGGCAAAGGCCCACCTGTCTTTCTTATTTTCCCGGAGACTGAAAGGGGCAGAAAGTGAGCATGGCCAAATGGTGTTGCAACCACCAGGGCTGTGTTGCTGGCTTCAGAAAAGCCAGGCCTGCCCAAGGATGCACAGCTGTCAGAGCAGCAAATTTGACAGCAAGAAAATTCTGGAAACACAGGTCTCATCCAGGTTTCCCCAGCTGAGGTAAAGGCTGAGTTCCTGCAGGTGTAGTAAGAGACGTAGCTGTGAGCCTAAGAAAGCTGTGGGCAAGTATTCTCACACAATAACCAGCTTCACATTGCCGGGGCAGGTAGGGGGGCAAAATGACTCGTGGCCTGGCAGTGAACAGCTGTCATGGGACGCCAGCCACAAGTTGGGCATCTTATGAGCCCTACATTCAGAAATGTATGTAATCCCCCATAACAATCCTCTGCCTTAGGTGGTGTTATCCCTATTTCACAGATGAGAAGTTTAACGGGCTTGCCCAGAGTCACACACCCCTAAGTGGCAAAGCTGGCTTCAGGTCCCCAACCACAGACCCCATCAGGTACTCTTTACCACCACCAGATATGATCAGAGCACACGGGCTCTGCCCTGAATAGACTGGGAAAATTCAAGGAAGTCTTTTAACCACAAGGAGCCCTGCCCTGCCTCCCGCACAGGGCAGCTGAGGTGTGGCTTTGGTGAGACAGCACAAAGGAACAGGCTCTGATGACGCTACCCAGATGTACCACTGGCCTCTTGATTATGAAAATGGGGAGGGGGCCCATGGTCCCTCGGGCAGGTCAGACCAGAAGCTGGCCTTCACCTCACACACCCCGGGCTCCCAAAGCCCTCCCCAAACCAGGTTACCTGCTGGGCGTCTCCCTCGGTAAATGGCAGCTTTGTGGATACATGAAACATGATCTCCCTGTCCCGGAATGTCGTGTATACTGATTCCAGCCCTGTCTGTCCATGGGTCACATCCAGGCCTCCTCGGAAACTGTCAGCAAAACAGGGCAGGAGCCAGAGAGAGAGAGTGAGGGAAAGTGGGCCACTTGGTGCAACCTTCCCTGAGGACACACAGCTGGGGAGTGCAGAAGACGACATGGAGAGTAGAGAGCAGAGGAGATCATGATGTGGAAATAGCAGGTAGATGTGTTCCTCTGAGCAGACTTGCCCTGGTGTTCCATCCATAAATCCATTATTTAAAAGACAAAGGCAGAACCTCTACTTCAACACGCTGGATGGTCACGTGAGAAGGAAAACCATCCACCCACAATCCCAGACTAATGCCCCTCCCAGGTGCCAGTGACCCCCAAGGCTGGGCTCAGGTCTTTGCTTTCTGCAAGGCCATGACCGAATCCCCAGCCCACAGCCAATGCAACCAGCCATCCTGCTAGACAGTGTAAGCCCCACAGGAGCACCCAGAGTCAATCAGCCAGGAGAGATGACAGATACTTCACTCCTACCCAGCTAGTCCCTGATATGGAGGTCCAACCACCACAGCACCCAGCTTGGGGGTATCCCGGAGGTCCCATCTCTAGCTATCTCCTCACAGGCAGAAAAGAAAAGTACTAAGGAACTGAGTGGGCTTCCAAGAGCTGTCCCTTCTGCCTTTACAAAGCATAGCTGCCAGCTTGGTTCATATTTTTCAGCAAATGCAGGGTTCTTTAAGGAAATGAAATAAGATGGGCCCTGGTTGTCAGACCCTCTGGCACCAAAATATAGCCAGAAAATGTGCTCAGCTCAGCATGGCAGAAAAGACGCTGGACCAGTAGTTGGACAGCTAAGTCAGTACATGACCTTGGGCATATCGCTTAATCTATCTAAGCCTCAGTTTCCTTTCTCCATAAAACAGATAGGATTACATGATCTCTGGGGTCCTTCTACGTTTAATATACTGTGTTTCATCTATTCTAAAACCCACATTTTTTTCACATTTTAACATCACTGAAATCAGGAAGTGTCTTATAATGATGGTATCTCAAAGTCAACAAAAGATAGTAAAACTATAATGACTACCAATGTATGGTGCTACACTTAAGCGTTTCGTGAGCACTATCAATTTTAATCTCCCAATAACCCTGTGGGATCAATACTATCTTTATCTCCCTTTTTACAGATGAGGAAACTGAGGCATGCAGAGGTCACTTAACCAAAGTCATAGAGCTAATAGATTGTGGAGCTGGGATTCTAATTCAGATGTGATTGACTCCAGACAGCCTTGATGATCTTGAAAGAAGGAGAAGATGGAGGAAGAGGGAAAAGGAAAAAGGAGAAGGAAGAAAGAGAGAGAAGGAAGCAGAGGAAGAAAACAATTACTGAACACCTACTGCATGCCAGACACTGGGCTGGGTGCTTTCACACATGATGTTAGGAGCTCCTGTTAATTTGGCTGCTGGGGTGGGGAATTCTGGGCCCTCAGCCACATGCCAACCATCAAGCACAGAACAAGCCGGCCAGATCTGAATTTATCCCAAATGTAGCCTTTGCCAAGGAAAATCAACGGCCAGAGTTTTCCAAGCAATAACCTCAATATTCTGTCTTACTATCCACTTAAAAAGCCATAGACTGTTGCATGGATTCCTGCCTGAGGAATTATTATATTTGCATCAACTCTTAGTTATCCATTCTTTGTGCATTATCTAAAATAGGTCATTTCCTCTCAAACAGCAGAGGGTTGTCTTTCCCAAATACCTAGCAGGTGAGTGATAGAGAAAGTGGATTCGTTTCACTCTCAGTCCGATCTAAATGTAATTAGGAAGGCAAATCTGAGGCAGAGCAATTTCATCACGCATCCTAAGGCCAAATGTGAATGCCTTTCAGAGAATGTGCCATGCTGAGTTATTCCTCGGACCACTGATTCCTCAGGAATGCAGGTGAGTGAGTGCTGATCAGATGTTGAAGAGTAATCCCCTGTTTCTTGCGTGTTTTTAACTCTCACATGTTCCTGAGAGTTAAGGCTGAGTTGTCTGCCCCTTGCACTTCCTCTCGGGCCTCATCAATGGAGCTGGAGCTGCCACTTGGCTAAAACCCACCCTTTGAAGTCCTGTAGTGTGATTGTGTCCCCCAGCAGGTCCAAGAACTCCTTGAAAGCTGGGCTCTCCTCATTGTTCCCAAAGAGCTCCTCCTCCAGGGTCTGAAAAAGAAACATGGACAGGGGCAGAAGTTAGAAAAACCCTTCTTGATGCCAAGGGAAGGAATATGGCTGCCCAGATACCTAGTCTCTTTCTTCCTTTCTCCCAGCACATTCACCATAGCTGTCCTCAGTTGGAGGAAGGACTAACAGAGGCTCACTCAACAGTGCCAAATCTTTGGGCTGATTAATGAGACCTTTCAGTTTGAGCAAAGGTTCCTGCTGGTCAGCACAAGGCAAAGTTGAGGCAAACAGTTCTTAGACTTAATGCCAAAAACATAACCCATATATTAAAAAACTGACCATTGGACTTCCAACAAAGGATAAGTATCAAGAATATATACAGAGCTCTCAAAACTCTAAAGTGATCAAACCACCAATGATACAGCACTTCATACTCACTAGCATAGATGGTTATAATAAAAAAGAAAGACAATAACAAGTGTTGGTGAGGATGTGGAGAAATCAGAACCTTCATACACTGTTGGTGGGAATGTAGAATGATGCAGCCACTTTGGAAAACAGGCTGGCAGTTCCTCAAAAGGCTAAACATAGAGTTGCCATATATATGACCCAGCAATTCCACTCCTAGGTATATACCTAAGAGAAATGAAAATGAATGTCCACACAAAAATTTATACATGAATACTAACTGCAGCACTATTCATAATAGCCCAAAAGCAGAAACAACCCAAATGTCCATCAATGGATAAGAGTATAAACAAAATGTATTATATCCATAAATGGAATATTATTTGGCCATAAATAAGGAACAAAGTACTAGTATATACTACAACATGGATAAACTTTGAAAACATTATGCCAAGTAAAAAAGGCCAGACACAAAAGGCCACATATTATAAAATTCCACTTATAAACAGTCCAGAATAGGCAAAGTCATAGAGACAGAAAGTAGATTAGTGACTGACAGGAGCTAAAGGAAATGGGGATGAGGAATGACTGCCAGTGAGCATGGAGTTTCTTTTGGGGATGTTGCAAACTTTCTGGAGTTGGATGGTGGTGATAGTTGGACAACTCTGAGGTTACAGTACAAATCAGTTAATTGTACACTTTATTGAGATATAAATCATATATTTTGAATTGTGAGAATTCACAGTGTGAGAATTATGCTCAAATGCTCAATAAAGCTGTTATTAAATATTTAACTCAATAGTAAAAATATTTAATTAGAAAATGATCAAAAGACATGAAAAGACATTTCACCTAAGATATACAAATGGCAAATAAGCACGTGAAAAGATGTCCAACATCATGAGTCATTAGAGAAATGTAAATTAAAACCATAAGTCGATATCACTATACATCTATCTGGACAGCTAAAATAAAAGAAAGGTGACAAGACCAAATGCTAACAAGGATGTGGAGAAATAGGATAACACATATATTGCTGGTGGAACATTCATTCTAGAAAACAGTTTGGCAGTTTCTTACAAAACTAAGCCATATAATTACCATACAACTCAGCATTTACAACTCCTAAGCATTTATCCCAGAGAAACTTATGTTCGGACAAAAACCTGTATACAAGTGTTCATAGCAACTTTACTCATAATAACCAAAAACTAGAAACAACCAAGATGCCCTTCACTGGGTGGACTGAACTGTGTAAACAAATTGTGGTGAATTACCACCACGGAATATTATTCAGCAATCAAAAGGAACTAGCAATACACTCAAAAACTTGGATAAAACCTGCTGAGTGGAAAAATGTCAATCTCAAAAGGTTATATACTGTATGGTTCCATCTATATAACATTTTGAAATAACAAAGTTTTAGAAATTGGAAAACAGATTAGTGGTTACCAAGGCTTAGGAATTGTAGGAGGAAGGAAGAAGGGAGGCAGGAAGGAGGTTGCCATAGTTAGAAAAGGGCAACACAAGGAACCCTGAGATAACGGAATTCTTCTGTATGAAGGGAACCCAAAAAACCATTATTTTTTAATTAAAAAATTGTGTATTCTTCCATGTTTAAACTTCAGTCACCTTCAAACTGCTCTCTGTTTGATGCAGAGATGCTTTTTCTACTGCTCAAACAGTTTTTGAACTGATCAATTTTCATGCCTTTTAGAGCTTCTGTGGTTTTTTGTTTCACCTCTTCCACACTGGCAAAACATCTCCCTTTAAGGACTTTTTTTTATCCAGGAAAAAAAAAAAGTCACTCAAGACGAGATCAGGTGATTAGGGAAAGTGAGGCTTGGGGGTCATGCTGGTTTTGGTCAAAATCTGCTGAACAGAGCATGTTGTGGGCAGGTGTGCTCATAAATCACCCATCATGAAATGGGCAAACGCATTGAAAGAATCTCCAAAGAAAAATTCACTGAAGCCCAATGCAGCATCTTACTACAATGCTAGCTGGTACAATGATGCTGATGGGTTGCTAGAACACTTACCTAGTAGGGGAAACCAGTACTACAAAGGGCCCCCCCACCAAAAAATAATTATCTTCTTTTTGGGTCCCCCCCTCGTATCTTGACTATGGAACCTACATATGTGATAAGACTATCTACAACAAAATACACACAACATACACAAATGAATGCCTGTAAAAGTGGGGGAATTCTGAATAAGATCTGTAGATTGCATCAATGTCAATATCCTGGTTGTGATACCGTATTATAGTTTTGAAAGACATTACCTTTGTGGAAAACTAGGTAAAGGGTACATGAGATCTCTCGTATTATATTTTACAACTGTATGTGAGTCTACAATTATCTAAAAATAAAAAGCTTAATACTGTTTTAGAAAGCAAAGCTGAAAACAGTAACAAGCTCTGCCAACAGTAAGAGGCTTAAAACACTGACTACCCTGCCTGACCAACAGGCTCTACCCACAGCAGCAGGATCTACAAACAGCTGAAGGCTCTACAAACATCCATAGACTGCAATAAATGGCTACAGGTGACATAAAGACCCTCTAGTCTACCTTCAAGTAGAAAGTCTCCAAGAGATGATTCTTGTGCACCTTCTTAACACCTGCTTTATAGCAAAAAAGAGCAGACCTCAGGCCTCATGCCTTTAACAGGTGACAGAAGCTGATAGATTTCATTAACCTTATTTTGTTTTTTACAGCATTTATTTTAGAATTACCTTCATTTCATGGTAAATGATACTGGTTTTCCAGTTAGAGTAGTGATATAAAATCTCCTTTTAAGAGATTTAATATAGATGCATTTAAATGCATTTAAATTTTTTAAAAACTTTTTAAAGAAAATATTAAGTAGTTAACAGTGTGGACTGGGCGCAGTGGTTCACACCTGTAATCCCAGCACATTGGGAGGCAGAGGTGAGAGAACTGCCTGAGCCTAGGGGTTCAAGACCCGCCTGGGCAACTTGGTGAGACCTGGTCTCTACAATAAATCAAAAAAATTAGCCAAGTATGGTGGCATGCACCTGTAGTTCCAGCTACTTGGAAGACTGAGGCAGAAGGATATCCTGAGCCTAGCAGGTCAAGGTTGCACTCCAGCCAGGGTGACAGAGCGAGACTCTCACTCAAAAAACAAACAAAAAAAAATATAGGTATAATAGAAATCTTAACAGTGACACATGATGGAACAATATGATACAGATTTTGAATATGGTCTGTGAGTGTCTAAAGTTTGGGGAGCACCACACTCCAGCAGGGGTCAGCAAACTTATGGCCTGTGGGTCAAGTCTGGCCTGCTGCCTGATTTTACAAATAAAGTTTTATTGGAGCAAGCCAAGCCAACTCATTATCTATTGTCTATGGCTACTTTTGTACTACAAAGGCAGAGTTGAGTGGTTTTGACATATACCCCAAGGCCCATGAAGTCTAAAGTATTTACTATCTAGCCCTTTACAAAAATAGTTTGCCAATCCCTGATCTATAATATGTCATGAAGACATCACAACTCCAGCCAAGTGTCCTGTTTGCCCCCAGTCATGAGGCCAGAGTGTGGGAGGAGCAGCTGCTTCTAGGCAACCTACATCTCCTATTAGGAAAACAATCCAGTGTGTGTTCTGGGACATATACCTCTCTTGCAGGATTCACATCCAGTCTGGTATTAGTATTGCCATTATTTTATACTGGCCTTGAACTTGACCATGGGCTCAGGAAGGGGGGGGGTCTTAGTCATCACTGTATCCCCCAGAGTGCTTAGCACAGTCAATGAAAAACGGGAGAGTTGGGTGAGGTTTATTTATATCTAAAGACCAACATAGGGCTTTCATGCAACAAATGCTCATATTAAATGTCCCCCAGCTGTGGGTTTGCAAAACAACAATCTGCCTGGGTTTTTTAAAAAAAAGAATTTTATCTTCCTGGTTTTTTCCCCCCGCAGCAGTAACAGGTACATAAACAACACACAGATTCCTTCTTCGATGTGGATGGTTAATGTTCAGTAATTATAGCTTTGCTGGAACATTGGATTGTAATCACCTTATAAAATCTGCTCTGATAAATTTTGCAAGCAAAGAACTTTAATTAGGGGGGTTGTATTAACAGAGCTACTCAAAATAAAAATGTAATATGTGAAAATAATAAGTTGAATAATCTCCCTTAAATTATAAGATTCATCAGTGTTTATGTTACAGACCCTAAACTCTTCTCCTAATTAGAGCATTTTTAAGCTCCATGGTCTCTTATGGTCTAGTATCTTCAGACAAGGAAATCAGGTGTCATCTAGCCAAGAAAGATACCATCACGCAAAATAACACAGATAATATCAAAAGATACTATTAACCTATCATTAGCAGGGCCAAAATTTTTATTCATTCATTAATTCTCTTAAGCATTTAGTTTATTTATATAAGTTGACATGCTAGATTCTTGGATGATACAAAGATGAAATGAGTGTAGAACCTTCTCTCAAAGAATCTAGGTGAGAAAACAGTGTATTCAGCTGACCACTCTGCTTGGGATGTCAACAAAAGTTCATGGTAGGAAAAAAGTATAAAAGATGGGAAGTTTGTGGCCAAATTAGCATGGGAAACACTCAGTTCAACAAGTTATAAAGAGTTACTTACCTTGAGGGGGTTCTTAGAGTCTTAAAAAAGTTCTCACACACATAACAACTCCTCCCTAAGTTATTTGTTCACAGAGTACATCACCAGACTAGCACTTCATGGGAAAATGAGAAACATTATTTCTAGCCAACTAACTCCAAAGCAACATGTGAGTGCTACAAGAGACACAGGAAAGTGAGCAGTGGCATGCAGGTCAACTTTTTGGCCTCTGGATCTCCAGAGAAGAAAAAGACCCTGGTGTTTGCCAATCTATGGTGTAAAAGCTTCTACCATGGCTGCTTTCAAGCTACAAACCCAACATCACTGAACAAAATTGGGAAAATACACACAATTGGTTCCATCATACCACTGAAGTTTGGAGAGAAAAAGTTCATTCCAGATGGGAAGAATGGTGGGCAAGGAAAGAGTGGCTTATGCTACTCCAGTCCCTCTACTAGTCTGATTTTTCTTAAAACCAACTGCCCAGAGATAATTCAAGCTAAGGTGGCCAGGAAAAAATCAGAACTTACTGTATGAAAGGCCATCCTGAAGGTTCTGCCACCTCTTGTCTAATTTATTCCCTAAATGTGACAGTTGTATTCAGAATGTTCAAGAACCTAGTTCAGGGCTCCTGCACTTGAGATAAGGAGGGGAAAAGTTCTCAGTGAGAAGCCATAGGATATAGTAATCAGTATGATCCATGTTGCTTACCTGCCTGGCTTTTTGATAAATGACCCCAAATTTGAATGTGTTGTTGACATCGTGCTCATCATAGGACACAATCATTTGGGAGGCCTGGAAAGTGTGGGAAGAAAACAATCAAGACTGTGTATTAATTTGGAGGCAAGTGAGGAAGCAAATGGAAGGGAAAGCATCTATTTGGGCAGAGAATGTGCCCCCGGTATAAATATCCACACACATGGAGGAAGAGAAGGGGAGAAATAATAAGCAGATGGTCAGGATGAAACTCCAAAGGTCTTGTTTAGCTCCCAACACCTGGGCTTCCCTAGCAGTAACCAAACCTCTGCATCATCCATTCCATTTCCATCCAGATGTCCAGCCAAGACCTGAGCACATGAGTTCAGCAGGACTCAAGGAACTACCTTTACCCCAGTGTCTAATCTGTGGTGTGAAAAAATGAAACCAGAACTCCAAAAGCTGGTCAGCAAGAAGGACTAGTTCTGATTCATCCCTAATCAACAGTATAGTTTTGAGCAAGTCACTGCTCCTGCCCAGACTTCAAGGCCTTATCCATAAAATGAGAGGTCTCTCAGAAGACCACTCTAAGAAGGAACACACTTTAATATAATATGCAAAGAAGAAAAAAAAACCTGACCATTGGTATTCTATCTAATTTTCCATTATGCTTGTTAGAATTAACGTCTGGGGTTAGAAACACTGAAGTGTAGTTTTGAATCTGCAGCTTTTATCTATGTAACTTTGAGTGAGCCACTTAACTTCTCTGGGCCTCAGTTTCCTCATCTGTTAAATGGAGATGTATGGTTGTGGAGATTCAATGAGATCAGGTGCATAAAGTGCTGATCACAGAGCAGCTATCGTTATCGTCATCATCATCATCGTCCATGTAACCCTCTAGAAAGATCAAAGCTGAACCAGCTTATTGGGACAGAGAAGATCTGCAGGCTGTTAGGATACCCTCTGTAATTTTCTTTTTAAAAAAGGGATTCAACCATGTGTTATACTAGGGGAGGAACAAACCGGCATCACTTGTTGGCTGGAATATGTGGCCCATGTCAAGTTGCCACCACTGTATATCTCCGTGAGGTTCTCAGCCGCCTGAGGAATTGGACACTTCTCAGCTCCCCCAGTAAGGACACTGCTGCCCAACCCTAAAGGGAGCCCTCCACTACTGCCTAGGATGAGTCAAAGTGGAGGAAGAGCTGCCCTGCCAGAGAGAGGCATCAGGCCATGGAGATCTTCCAAAGAACGTTCTAAACTCTGCAAATGTTAAAAACACACACATACATGCATCTCAGCCAGTCAGACGCCACAGTCCTTCAAATATAAAAAATATAAAAATACAGCTGTTCTTCCATTATAATAACCAAGGTCAGAGGTTTTCCAAGTTACAGAGAGAACTATGCAGATAAACATCATTGGTTCTCTAAGTGGATATGATTTGACAACAAAAATTGCCAAACCTGTAGTTGTTAAACTTTTATGATGGGGTTTAATATTTGGTTTAACCTTACTAATTCCATTTTAATTATAAAGAGGAGATCAGTCTGAATGACAGAAAATGTTCAACAGAGTGTAGCTTATTCCCAGTTAGTATCTACAGATGCTAAAATGGCTAAAAGAGGTGTCTGAAAGAAGAGTTCTGTGCAGGAGAGGACTCTGCCAATAGCTCAACCACTGCAAATAGATAAATAGGTGCTTCTAAAAGGGTCATGCCCAATTGCAAACAGTTAAGGCATTTGTTCTAGGGGATTCTGGATGTCTCAGCTGGGACAGGGCCTCTCTTCTCCACTAGATATTTCAGCTCATGGCCCCTGGTTGTCAGAGTTGAGACTCAGGGAATGATCAGAACCAGCCCCAGCAAACCTCTATTGCCACAGCACTGGCCCACAGCAAAGGCTCGGAAGCACAGCTCTGCTTCCATTTTCTCTCTCCAGACCCTCCTTCCTGTGGCCAGTTTCAAGCAATTCACAAAGCCCATGGTGATTTAAGTCCTGTCATATCATAATTGCTCTTGAGTGGGTTTGTTGTTTTGTTTTTGTTATTATTGTTCCTCTCCTCACCCACACTCCCATATCAGAACTGGGGTCAAGATCAGGCCAATCCTAAGGAAACTGATATCAGAGAACCAGTCAGTTTATTAACGAAGGCTGGGTAGAGGCTTGGAAGGCTTCAGAGCTGCAGTTACAGGGCAATGGGGAGCAGTGGTCTGGCCTTTCATGTCTTAGTGAGTTTCTGCCTTCTGCAGCCCCCACCCCTCCATGACAGCAAACTATATCTGCAACAGCCCCCAGCTGTAGAATTACACCCCAGTTCTGGCCTCAGGGAGGTACCACTGGGGTAAGGGCAGAGAAACTATAACACTGCTATCCTCTGCCATCTTCGCAATAGGCTGGGGACGAATTCAGCTGGGCTGCAGACACAGGCATAGCTGTAAGTGGGTTCCCAGTGGACCAGTTAGTAAAGGAATAGCAGGAAGAGAGGAAGACATGGAAGTTTATCATGGAGACCCCACAAAATCCCAGCATGATGCAAAGAACTGCCCATAGAGCCATAGGTGTACAAATCTGTGCCAAGCTATAGGGTCCCTGGGGGAAGCATGAAGGTCCTCACCTTGGGATACAGGACAGGGTTGAATTTCAGCCCCACTGCATCATCACAGAAGGCCTGAGAAGGGAGAAAAACACACAGCTCAGAGACCACATCCATAGAGTACATCTGGGCTCCTCTGCCCACCAACAGAATGTAGCATGGGTGGGCAAGACACACGGGTCAGGAGGCCTGGGCTTGAATTCTGGCTCTGCCACACACTAACCTGTGCCTAGGTAAGTCGCGTAGCCTTTCTGGGGGTTCCTGATAATGTGAGAAGAGGGACTAGATGAAGCCTGAGGCTTGTCTCTGTTCTGACATGAAGACGATGCCAAAAAGCCATCTATTCCCTAATTCTCACCAGAGTTATTCAGCATAATTCTGTGGCATTCCTGCTCCCAGAGTGAGAGTCCAACCCAATCCAGTCAACCATCTTTCTCACCCCACTTTGCTGACTCAATTCCAAGGTCCCAGTAACCCAAAGCAGTAACACAAGCCCCTCCACCAGCTGGCTGCTCCTTACTCAAGAGTGTGCTCAATCTGGATCATCCTCCAGCCCAACTAAGGCTTCTCTTCTGCTGTGAAAGCTCCCTGGCCACTCCCTCCCACTCCTCCTCTGAAGTCCTACAGCACTTTCCATATCCAGCTCTGTCTTTCCACTTCTCTTGTCTCCTGAACTAGCTGTGAACTAGTTGGGAGCAGGCACCATGGATAACACTATTCCCGGGCAACCTCAACAAGGATGAGCTGGGAAGAGTGTAGGAAACATGGAGGCATCTGCCAACAGCCCTCCCCAAGCCCTATCCACTCAGTCAAGGGCCAATGAGTAAAGGGACCTCCCCAACTCCAAGGGGCTGGTTTTTACCTTTGCAATCTGAGGGACGCTGGGCAACTTGCTCAGTCCAGCCAAGGGGATCCGTTCATGCACTGTCTTCAGTTTGGACCTGCACACACAGATGAGGGTAAGAAAGGGCGTCCACAAGAAAGACAGCCAATTAGGAAGGTGGCTGAGACCACACCTAGGTCTCCCTAGGTCAGATCTGCCTCGTTTTACCCAGCTCATGTCTTGGGTACCACCCTCAAATGGTGGAAAAATGGAGTCCTACTTGGGTACCCCAAGGGAGATGGACACTTAAAGGATATGCCTGGTCAATCTGTCTGTCACTGAAATAAGGGCAATCAATGTAAGTAGCCACCTTCAGGGTCACCAATATTTTTTGGTTGATTGTGGGTTTTTTGTGTTCTCCCAAAGAATTAAGCACAGCTTCTGGATATATTTGGGTTTTGATATGCAATTAAACTTTTATGAAAAGAAAATCTAATATTTGAAAATCTGGATTTACTCAAAATATAAATGGGGTAGCATCTGATTTATAAAGGGATTCACCAAAAGACTCTAAATTTAGCCTGTTCCCCTGATTCATTTAGCACATTATGAAAGTGCTGAATTTTACTGAATGCTTTTCTGCATCTGCTGAGATAATCATATGGTTTTTACTCTGTTAACCTGGTGAATTATGTTTCTGTTGAAGCAAATTTAGAGTCCATGGGTAAAACTCCATTTCCTTATGATGGATTATTTTTAACATCCTGCTGAATTTAATTTGTTAATACAGTAGTCCCCCCCTTATCCATGGTTTTGCTTTCCAAGGTTTCAGTTACCTGTGGTCAACCAAAGTCCAAACATTGGGCATTCCAAATTTTCTAGAAAATTCCAGAAATAAACAATTCCTAAGTTCTAAATTGTGTTATGTTCTGAGTACTGTGGTGAACTCTCCCGCCAACCCGCTCTGGCCCACCTGGGATGGGAATTCTCCCTTTGTCCAGCATATACACACTGTACACGCTCCCTGCCCATGAGTCACTCCATAGCCATCTCGGCAATACTCTGGGGCTTGTATTAAAGTAACCCTTATTTTACTAATAATGGTCCCAAAGAGCAAGAGTAGTTATGCTGGCAATTCAGACATGCCAAGAGAAATCATAAACACTTCCTGTAAGTGAAAGGTGAAAGTGCTCAAAGAAAGAAAAAAAAACATATGCTGAGGTTGCTGAGATCTGCAGTAGGGATCGATTTCAGTCTGTGAAATTGTGAAGAAGGAAAAAGAAATTCGTGCAAGTTTTGCTGTTGCATCTCCAACTGCAAAAGTTCTTGCCACAGTGCATGATAAGTGCTTAGCTAAGATAGAAAAAGCATTAAATGTGTGGGTGGAAGAACAGAAACGTGTTCTAATTAATGGCAATCAAGTTCAGGACTATCTGATGTTTCAGGAATCCATTGGGGGTCTTGAAACATACCTCTCACATAGAAGGAGGAACTACTGTATTTTATTTAGATTTTCACATCTATGTTCAAAAGCAACACTGGCCTATTTTTTATTTTCTTGTATTTCCCTTGCCAAGTTTTGATCTCAAGGTGTTATTCCAGCCTTGTAAAATTGCTAGGTAGCTTCTCATCTTTTAAAATAGTTTGTATAATACAGGAATTATCCATTCCTTAAAGGTTTGCTAAAACCCATCTGTGTCATTTTTAGGCCTGCCATTCTATATAGGAGGAACTTTTGGCTACTAATTCATGTTCCTTGGTGGTAAATGTTTATATTTTCTATTCCTTACAGAGTCAATTTTGGTGACTTATGTTTTTATATAAAAGTATCCCTCAAACACATTGATATAAAGTTGCTTTTCGTATTCTCTTAGGTCTTCATTTTCATTTGTAGTTGTCTCTTCAACTTCATTGCTGTAATACTATTTGTTTGTATCTTTTCTGTTTCCCTTGATCAGTCTAGACTGGAGATCTATCGATTTTATTAGACTTTTCAAAGAGCTAGCTTTTGGTTTTGTTTATCAGTTCTATTCTTTTTTATTTTTGTTTTCTACTTACTAGTTTGTTCTTGTCTTTTTGTGTGCTTTCTTCTATTTTCTCTATTTTCTTCAGAGTTTTTCCACTGTTCTTTTTCTAACGTCCTGAACTACAAACTTACTCATTGAATCTTTCTTCTTTTTCACAAGTGCATTTAGAACTATACCATCTCTAAGTACCACTTTAATTGCTTCCCACACAATTTGATACGTAGTATTTTCACTGACATTTAGTGAGAAATATTTTGTCAGTTCTTTTGTGATTTCCTCTTTAGCCCATGAGTTATTTAAAGAGGTCTTTTTTTTTTTTAACTTTCCAAATATGAGATTTTCTTTCCCTCAGTATTTTAACTGTTGATTTGTAATTTAACAGTCTTAAATTCAGGAAACATACTCTATATGATATTCTTTGAAGTGTGCTGACTTTAATACATACATAGACTTTTACATTTTTTTCACACTCCATGTGGGCTTGAAAGAATGTACTTTTTTTTCTTTTGTTAAGAGCAAGAATATATGTCAAAAGATCAAATTTGTTAATTGTATTGTTCAAATCTTCTATATCCTCACAATTTTTTGCCTGCTCAATCCATCAGTTTCTGAGAGATGCTATCAAAATCTCCCACTATAATTGAAGATTTATCTACTTCTTATCCTTCTGTCAGTTTTGTTACAAATTTAAGACCACGTTACTAAGTACAAGTTCATGACTGTCAGATCTTCTGGGTGGACTGCCCTCTTTATCATCATGTAGGCTGAGGACTCAGAGGGGGCCTAGTATAAGGCATCTTCCTCTGCCCAGGTTCTGAATAAATTCAGAAACAAACAAATGACAACACACACACATACACATATACAAAGAAAAATAGAGTATTGGGAGCCAAAATAACACCTCTGTTACTGATAAAAACCAAGTAGGAGCACATAGCTTAGAGGGAGGATGGAATCGGTCTTTCTAACTGAACGCCAGAATTAGCCAAACTTACCCACCCAGGCACGAGTAGTACTGGACAGGGGCAAGCCCCCTCCTTGGATTCTGCTCAGGTGAGACAATACAGTACAGGAGACTGCCCTGAGGGCAACTGGCTCCAAGAGGAAAAGGCAGAAAGAACATGGATACACACATCCAGTTCTTGCACCCAAATACACCAATCAGAGGGTGGAAAGAGCCAGGATGTTACAAAAACACGTACCTTCCATGCCACAGGAAACATCAAAAGTGAGGAAGAAGTATTCCCAAGTAACAAAGAAGTACCCCCTTTATCCCTAATGCTTTTGTCCTAAAATCCTATATTGTCTAATAATATTAATATTGCTATGCCAGCTTTCTTGGTAAGTATGTTCCCAGTGCATCATTTTTCATTTATTTTAAATCTTTCCATGTCATTTTTATTTAAGTATGTCTCTTATAAGCAGAGTATAACAGTATTTTTAATTCAATCGATCTGGTAATTTAATAGGCTAATTTAATCTATTTATACTTATTGTAATTATTATCCTATTTGGAATTATTTCTAATCTATCATTTTACATTTTTTATTAACTGTTTTCTTTTCTTGTTTTTTTCTCCTTTCTTGCCTTCAGTTGAATACAGTTGTGAAGTTTTTGTTTGTTTTCTTTTTTGTTATTGTTTTTTATCATCCTTTTATCACTCTGCTAATTTAGGAGCTATAGATTGTAAGTCTGTATCTTCCAATACACATATTTATATTTTTTCCAACAAACTAAAAATGTATTTTCTCTCTGGAGGGGAGTAAACAAGAAACAACAGAGTATGCTTTATCCAATGAACTTTGCCCTTCCCATTGTGCTTGTCATTTTTTATTAAATTTAGTTCAAGTTTCCTTTTAAACATGTAAAAAATTACTTTTTTGTCCAGTCAACAGTTAAATTTATCAACATAGTTTACTTATTTCTTATCATTTTAATTAAATCTTTTTCTTCTGGATTCTCTTTTCTTCTTGCTGAAATATATCCTTCAGTGATTCTTTCAGGGAGAGCCTGTGGATAATACACTCCCTTCATTTGTTTTACAACTGAATATATTTTTCTTTTGTCTTTACTGATAGTTTTTCCAAGTATAGAATTTTAAGTTAAGAGGGTTTTTTCCTTTCTTTTTAAAAATACTTTAAAGATACTGTCCCGTTGCCTTCCAACAACTATCATTGCTAAGAAGAAATCTGTTCTCAGTCTAGTTGCCATTACACATATTACATAGATAATCTTGTCTTTATCCTCAGGTAGCTTTTAAACTTTTTTAATATTTATGTTTCACTTCAACATGTCTAGAAGTATTGTTTTGTTTTAAAATCTTGCTCAGCAGCAAGGTGTGTGCTTTTTTCAATTCTGAAATATTCTCAGCTATAACCTCTTTGGATATTTGTTCACTTGTCTCTCTGTTCTTTCCTTCTGGAACTTCTTTGAGACAAATGCTGGAGCCCTCCAGTCTATTATCCATATATCCTATCTTCTTTTTTATATATATTATATCTTGATCTGTGCTGTGTTCTGGATGAATTCCTTGGGACTATCTTGCACTTATAAAAGCACTCTTTGTACAGAATAGATTTTAATCCCATGTGTTAAGTTTATTTCAACAAATATTTCTTTATTTCCAATAATTATGTTTTTATTTTATACTCGTGTGTTTCTGATCCATCACAATTTATTATCCATTGCACAGATGCTATTCATTCTTTATCTTTTTACAATCTTAAATACATTTATTTTAAGTCATTCTGAAAGTATACCATTACTTGAATTTCACCAGCAGTAAATCTACTTCCTATTTGTTGATGCTTTTGGATCTTTCTTAATGTCAGTTTTTCCCAGATGTTTTAGAATTTTCCACCCACTTTTTTCTTCTCAGTTCAAGCCACCTTGGTGTAGTTTCCATCATGCTTATTGGTTAACACAGCTCTCGGGACACCACTCACATTATGCTATCTGGTGACCTGGATCATCACCTGTGATAATCACCATGATAATCATAGCAACCTTCTGACTCACCTTCCTGCTTCTGGCCTTGGCTTTCCTCTAAGCCATTCTCCTTATTCTAGCCAGAGTGATCAGTCTGCAATGC